GGACTCACAGCCGCCTGCCTGGGCTCGATAAACAGCGCCTCGGCCTCATCCAACACGAGCGGCTTCTCGCCCGCGTCCACGTCCACCAGCGTCTCCAAGCGGCCCTTGACCCACGCCTTGCGGCCCTCGACCTTCGTCGTCTCTGCGCGCAGCACGATGAACTGGCCCGCCCGGCACGGGGCCTTGTAGTTGATGGTCAAGCTGGCCGTCATGCCGATCTTGTTGGGCAGGGCGGGAAAACAGCAGCGGGCGAGCCCCTCGTCCAGCAGCGTGGCCAGCAGGCCGCCGTGCACGACGCCCGGGTGGCCGCACAGGGCGGGGCCGACGTAGTGGACGCTGGTCATGCGGCTGCCGTCGGGGGCGGCGAAGGCGAGCGCCGGCACCACCAGCTCGTCCTCGCCCAGCAGCGTGCCCGCGGTGAGGTTGTTGGCGCGCAGCGAGTTGGGGATGCGCATGTGCGGGCGCGACTCGGCCAGCGCGGCGTCGGCGCGCAGCGCCGCCACGGCCGGGTGCGCCTGCAGCTGCGCCTCGATCTCGGCCGCGCGCGAGCCCGGCTGCGGCTGCCAGAGCGCGAGCGTCTCGGCGTCCGTCGGCGGCGAGAGCACGTCGTCGACGACGGGGGCCGCGGGCGCGGCGGACATGGCGAAGCCGAGGGTGAAGGATAGGGCGGCGAGGAGGGCGGCGCGGAGGATGCGGACGGGCCGGGAGCGGGTGCGCGGGGCTTGGTCGGTCGGGGCGGCTGCGTCGGCGGTGGTTGTGGTGTCTGGTGTTGTCGTTGGTCCTGTAGGGGCCCATGGGTCAGTGATGGGTCGGACTCGACTCGGGATAACTTTTTTTTTTGTCCCGAGTGAATTGTGACGTACCAACGGCGGTGGTCTGGAACCTGGCGTGCTGGAGGGTGCGGAGGATGCGTGGTGAGTAATTGACAGGAGCGCGGGCGACAAAGGCAGCGTTTTGTATTGTGGCGGGCCGAAGAAGCGCGGTCCGGGACGCGCGCGACGCCCAGGCTGACGAAAGATTCCGGATCGACATACGGGCGTAGTAGCGAGCGTGTCAGGGGGCCAAAAAGATAAAGGCTTCAGAAAGGCGGTGGGCAGGCGCCGGAGCAAGCGGCTTCGCTCTGGGGCGTTGTGGTGCGGTCGTTGAGGTCGGTCCAAGTCCGCCGAAGGGGCCTGGACCTCGGCACGATTACCGCATGCGATTGGCTGAGTGCCACCAAGGTGCTTGCTAATTTCGGGCCCCCTTGTCTTTCAATCAGGCCCGGATGTCTCCTTCAACTGCTTACATTACGTGAGACATGTAGCTCATTTACGTCCAGATGTGTGCTTCAACTGCGCACATAGCAAGCATGGAGACAGTCCAATCTGCATCTAAGGAATAAGAACTACTTCGGACTGGCCAACCTCTAGTTCCTCCCTTCTTCACTTTCGCTTGAGCTTCCTTCGAGTTCTTGCAGATCGGGCAGGTAGGGAAGGCGACTGACAGCAGAAGCGCGGAAAGGACCGCGGGCAGCACTGTAGGCAAAAGGCAGACAAGTCGGACACGACGATACTTCGAAATCATGCCGAGACAAGGACGAGATGTCCGCTCCACAAGACGGGCACTGAACATCGACCAGTGCCGGAAACGGACGTTGCGATGACAACGGGGTAGACGGCGGAGTCAGAAGGCTTGGCCGTTCTGCAAACCACATGGCAGACGACGGAGTCGACGGAGTCAACGGACGCTGCGAAGGTGATGGAGCCAGCAAAGGACGAGCTGACAACGGCGAGTACCTGACTGGCCGCCTAGCCAATGTCGTCACTGGAGCTATCAAGTTCAACGAAAACTCCTTCCCCTCGCTCACCAAGTCAGCCTTGACAGTGACGCTGTGACGTCTGTAAAGGTTGAAAGTCTGCGTCTTCTGCCGGACGGCCACTGGCACGGTAAACAGCATGCCGAGAACGGACTGCGTGCCTTCGTTCTTGAACATGGTAGGCGCCCACGTCTCGGCTCGTCGGTCTTCCACGGCCAACTCTTTGATGTCTTTGTGGGTGTGAAAGCAACCAAACCAGGCATGAATGCTGTGGCGCCCGTCTGCCGGCCCCAAGATTGAGGTTTCCTCCTTGAGCGTCACACTGAGACTGATGAGTTCAACCTGGGGACTGTTGTAATTGGTAGGGCTATGCGGCTTGTGCGCTAAGAGGATTGTCAATGGAAATTGCCGGCCTGGAATGATCGCCTTCGGTATAAAAATCGTCGGTGCAAGACGGAGGCCCGGTTTGTGAAACACCAGCTCTTCAAGCCAAGCGAAACGGCCCTGTGAACAGCCTGTACAGCGAATCCACCTCACCACAGGCTTCAAGTCGTGACGGATTGTATGTCGGTCCTCCTGTCCTTCTCTCCACGTACTAATTGTCAAGTCAATCGACTCTACGTGCGGTGTCTCGTTCGGGTCCGTGAACGTCATGCGTGCGCAGATGGCATAGTCAACCGTAGCCGTGTTTCCACGTGAATCTCTATGGCTAAAGGTGGGCGGAAGACGATGACGCTGGACGGCGAATTTACGAGGGGTCGTGGTCCGACCATGCCTTTAGGGGCCGTCAGTAAGCCGAAAATCAGTGGATCGGACGGGCCAGAATCCATACTTCCCGGGAGTGTCAGTGAGGATAGGTATAGTGAACTCGAAGGCCCTGTATCCACCATAATCTGGCACGGGAATAAGTGGCTTCTCAATGTCGATCAATTGGTGCCGTCTGCACCTGCGGTGGTTGACCAGAGTCTCCGTGGTGCCGATTAGGGAGATTTTGGCGGATTCGACCGAGCTCCACGGGACCCTGGCCCCGACCATGCCTCGGATTACATCGCCCGAGGCGTACGTGTCCTTGGGGTTGAGAATGTGGATGTGGAAGGGCCGGGGGACCATGGCAGAAGTGGTCGCATGAATAAATATGAATGACTGTAATGGCAGCCAAAAGGGCTGGCAAGTCGGACGAGGTTGAAGACAGGGCAGAAGCTGACCAAGAAGGAAGTCACGACCAGGTTGCGCGCGGGTAGGTATGACTTGAGAAAGGAGTCGAGAATCAAGCCGAACACAGTTGCTGGATCATTCCGACAACGCGTCAGCCAAGCTTCTCTGAGCCCCTACGTAAGTAGTCGAAGCAAACATCTCGACGTCGATGCAAGCCTTGGAACATATTGGATTCGACTAGACATGAGCATCCCTGAGAGACAGACGTAGGCGGACTCGATCGATCCTTTTGTGACCTGCTGCGTGAACCAAGGAATAATGCATGTTTGGCATTGAGAGAAAGATGCAGAGTCGGTCAGAACACAGTTCTGTGTTCTGGGACGAGGCATGAGCAGAGTTGGTGCATGGCCATGGCGGGGTTTTGGAGCGAGCGGGGAGACGCGTCGCGCGTCGGTCGGCGAGTCGGCGTCGGCCCTGGAGCGTCACCAGCGCGTGCATTTCTGATCTTCACCCAAGCCTCGAGCTCCTCCCCACCACGACACCGCCCTGTGCTGCCTTTTTCCACGCCATCCCTCCACCACACGATACGGCCGACTCGCCTCCTCAGCTCTCGCGCAACACTCCCCTCAGTCCCGACCAATTCGAGCTTTCATCCCGCAAATAAAATGCCCGCGCGCAAGAGCACCGCCTCGGCCGCCGACGAGGATCCTGGCCTCAGCGTCGAGGTTCGCCTTCCCTCCGCCGCTACGCTTCTGCTCCGCCTACAGCTTCTGACGCGTCGCAGGACCTCAACCTCCCCAAGACCATGGTCAACCGCTTGGCCAAAGGCGCCCTTCCTCCAAACTTCAACGTCCAAAGCGTCGCTCAATCCGCCGTCTCGAAGAGCGCTACAGTCTTCGTGAACTACCTTACTGCCCAGTACGTCTCAGACACACTCCGGGTTCGACGTTCGACGCCCGATACATCGCAAACTCCCCGCACTACTCCTGCTGATCACTACGCGCCTCTACAGTGCCAGCGACATCGCCGCACGCCAGAACAAGAAGACAATCCAGCCCAAGGACGTCCTCGACGCGCTCAAAGAGCTCGAATTCGACATGTTCATCGACCGCACCAACAATGAACTGAACAGTACGTTCTCCCCGCTCTGCCTCTGCCTCTCCATTACCTCGCCCAATTTATAACACCCCAAAAAAAAAACAGAATACCAAGAAATCCAATGCACCAAACGCAACACCTACCGCCGCCGCGTCAAGGACGAAAAGCGCGCCGCCGAATCCAACAACCCCCACGGCGACGACAGCACCATGTCGCTAGCCGACACGGGTCCCAGTGCCGGTGCCGGTGCCGGCGCCGCCGGTGGTGGAGGTGCCAGCGCGGCGGCGCTCGCGACCGCGCTCGCGACCGCGACCGCCAACGGCGAGACCCACGACGGGGACGAGAACGGCGAGCGGGCGGCGAAGAAGGCGCGCGTGGATGCGAACGGGGACCATGACATGGATGACGATGTGGGCGAGGATGAAGGGGAGGAGGAGGAGGAGGAAGAAGAAGAGGAGGAAGACGAGGGGGAGGATGAGGAGGACGAGGAGGAAGGAGATGAGGATGAGGAGGGGGAAGGGAAGGGCGATCAGGAGGATTTGTTGGAGGAGAAGGCGGCGAGAGAGGATGAAGACGAGGCGTTGGATGGGGAGGAAAGCGATTAAGCGGAATGCTGGATATGTTGGGCGGTTGTGGATGGAGGACGTGGGTTCACGGGGGCATGGGTACTGGCGTTCTTACGGAGGCCATGATATGGCTCGCTACTATGGCCTTTTCTTTTTGCTTTCCCTTGCTGGTTTTGTAGATATACTGGGCGCTTCGGGGTTGGTTGAAACTCACCAAGCAGCTTTTTCGAGGCCGAATGCTTGTCCCCTTGGACAAAGCTGTACTCACTCCGATCTGATATGAATGACAAACATGAGAGCCACGACTGTGGCATCTGGATATTTATATTTGAGTACTTATGCCTTTCCGTATTCCAGCATGTGTTTTTCGACTCTGTGTCCCGACCTTTGCCATTCGCCAGCAATGTATGCAATAGAATCAGACCATTCGGCCTTGGTCCCTTGACCAATAAACCTCAGTCATTCCCCTCTAGCTCTGAAACTGGCAATCCGTTTTCCCCTTCATTTTCACGTCTTTTCGTCCCCGTCCGTTCGTCTGTAAGACAGAGGCGACCCGGATGCTGCACTCCTTCACCCCAACGCCTTCGCCGGCGCCGCCAGCGCAGCAGCAGCGGTAGCAGCAGCGCTCCCCCTCCTCTCCGCAAGCGGATCGCCATACCTCGACCTGACCATCCTCTCCCTCTCGACCAGCGCCTCCTCGGCCTTCAGCCACTCCTCGGCCGCCTTCTTGTTCTTCCACGCCCAGCCCGGCGCGTCCGCCTCGCGCTCCCACCGATACCCGCTCGCCGCGTGCACCCCCGGCTGCAGCAGCAGCCGCTGCTTGCCGCCGTGCGAACCAGCCCCGTGCGAACCGCCACCGCCGCTGCCGCCATCCACCAGCATCCCCCCCTCCACCGCCGCCTCGACACCGCCACCGCGAGTACCTCCACTATTCGCCGCCGCCACCGCAGCAGCAGCAGCAGCAGCAGCCGCCGCCGCCGCCGCGACGCTGCTCGTCGCCCCCGCACCACCACCAAGTCCACCACCTCCTCCACCTCCTCCACCCCCAAAGTTCAATCCAGTCGGCAAAACGCGCTTCCCATTCTCATTAATAACCGCGTCGGCGACGGCGGCGGCCGCTGCGCGCGCCGCGGCCGTGTTGGACGACGACGAGCCCGCCGCCGGCCCTTGCGACGAGGGCGGCGAAAGTTCAGCGGTGTGGGCGAGCGCCGAGGCGGCCGAGGTCGTCGGCGTCGAGGGGGGAGGGAGAGCTGTCGTGGCAGTAGAGGTCGTCGTCATCGTCGTCGTCGTCATCGATGGTCCTGCGGCCTCGTCGGGGAAGAGGTCGTCGTCCGAGTCGGCGGCTGCGGCGGACGTGGGGGACGAGTGCATGGTGGAGTCGCCGTCGGCGTCTGGAGGGGTGAGCGGGCGGCTGGGGTTAGTGGTGAGGTGAGGTGAGGTTGGATGGGGCGGGGTGGGGTGGAGCGTGGTGGTGGTGGGGGGGTTTGAGGGTGTGGGTGCGGGTGCGGATGCGCGGGCTTTGCTTGCTTCGTGGTGCGATGGATGGGGGTGTGGGTTTGTTTCTTGTTGCTTGCGGGGAGGTGTGGATGGTGACGGGAAACGGATGGCGATGGAGCGGGCGTACCTGACATGACAGGCGACTGGGTTGAGGAGGTCTTGCTACGCTTAGCTGGGCGGGTCGAGGCTTCTGCGTCGTCCGCCAGGGTTGCGGTGTTGTGCTTGCTATCGTGGGTGGATGCGTTCGCGGATGATGGAAGGGCGGGAGTGGTAGCGTCGTTCATGGCTGTAGCTGCTGCTGCGGCGGGTTCGGCGGCGGCGGCGGCGCGCGGTGACGTGCAGGGCGACATGGTCCGGAGCTCCAAAAGCGGCGTCGCGTCGATTGGTCCGTTCAAGCTTTCCCCGCAATCTTGTCTCCGACCACGGCCGCGCTGGGGGTGCACCGCGCGTTATATATATACTTATTGCCCCCGCTGCCTGCACGGGTGTTCCTGCCGTCACGGGAAAGTGCTGCCTGGTGTCTCCCGACAAACGGGCTCCAAACACCGTCCATTGATATCTCACCAACAAGTCCTTGCAAATCCTTGGATATCTTTTCCATTTGGAGCTAGTCTTGTGCTTCAAGGAAGCCTCACTTGTGGAGCCTAGAATCTCTCTCTAATCGAATGCTGGTGCTTTCACGATATTAGAGCCAGACAATTTGCAGTCCGGTAGAAAAACGCCTGGAATAATGCCCCTTTTGCCGAACGCCCCCACATTTCCGCCCCATGAAATCGACCTCTTGTTTTACAGGAATAGCCGTGTACAGCGTATCGGAGCTACTGCTTCTGCTTCTTCGGAGGCAGGCTTGGTACCTTGAAGCCATCCGCATCCTTCTTGCCACCCGTCTCGGTCTTCGCACCTGCAATCTGGGTGAAAGTGCCGCCGCCGAACCATCTGTCCTCCTCCGCCTTTCTTTTGCGGTTGACCTCTTCGCGCACCTTGGGATCGACAAGCTCAAGACCTTGTACAGGCGTGAACGCAATGGTCGATGCTGTACCTGCGGTGCCAACACCCGATGACCTTAAACCATGGCCCTTCAGCACACTGGCATTGCCTGCGGTACCGGAACCGCGCATAGTGGATGCCACGCCACTCACGGGCGTTGCTCCACCCCAACCAGGGTTCTTCTTGCTCAGCTTGGCCTTGGTTCGCTGGTCGATTTGAGTGGCGCGGATGCGTCCATCGTTGGCCTGGCCAATCATACCGAGACCCTTGGTGCCATCACCCGTTCCATATCCAGCTTCAGCCTCCTCCTTTCCGAACGCCACGCGGTTCTGCGCCTTTCGCAGCTCCGTCATGGCGTACGCCTCCTTGGCCTTGCGAACTCGTCTACCGCCTCGCTTCCGTGACGGCTTGTCGTCCGGCACGGGGAGGGCCCGGATACCCTTGTTTGGCGGTGGCTCGGTGAGTTTGTCCAGTCTATCCAAGCATTGCTGCTTCAACGTCTCGCCGGTGGACCCATCGGGGCTGCTGTGAATGCTATCCACTCTTGCTGCGAGTACAATCTTCGCCGAGACAATCCTCATGGCCTGCTTCTTGAGATCATTGGGGATGTTGCGGATGATCTCAGAGTGGTAAAGGAAACCCTGGTTCCTGACGCCGGTGTTGGTAGCAAACCCTGTTCCAGACGCTCTCTTGGCTCCAAGGACGGCGATATTGCAAGAAGGCGTCTTGGCGAGACCCTTGATGCCTCCAGCATAGTTGATGAGTTGGGCCGCAGTAAGAGATCCGATGAGAGCGGTCAAGTTCGGAGCAAATATGTTCATGCGTGACTGCACGTATTCAGTCAGGACCTTCTTGGCGTTGTCAAGCTGCAGCGTCATTTCGCACGCCTTCAAGACGGTATTGAGCTCGGTGTCGGTGAGGTCTCGTCCTTGGGATGTCGTGGTTTCGACGGTTACCACCATCATGGACGGGCCATCAAGAACCTTGTTAAGTGGCTGGCCAACAAGATTATCCGAGGATGCCGACTTCTTCTTGATGGATTCTGCGTCCATGGGGCCATTTCCAATAATGGCAACCGTTTTCGCATAGTCCAGGGGATTGGTGACAAGGGTTTCGAGCTCTGGGAATCGGAGAGAGTAGTGGTCCCGAATGAACTTGTGCACAAGGATAATCTCGCTGTCTATTTGCGTGGCGAGGGTGTTCGACTGCGTGAGCAGCTTGTACTCCGGGTTATCCTCGATGGAACCGATGTTCTTGGTCTGCTTCTCAGGCGGCAGTCCCTGGTAGTGTGCGATTTTCTGTGGGCGGCGATGATCGTCAGGGCTGTGTCTTCAAAGGATGTAAACAACATATAAAAGGCGGGGTTGCGGGGGAAGACTTACATCAAGCACTGGCTGCAGCGTCTTCATCAATCCTGCTACGCTTCGTACATCGCTGACGCTTCCAAGCTGCATCTTCTCGACTCTAGCTTTGGTCTCTTCCTCATCTTCGGGCACATCGCGTGCCTGTTTCGCAGCCGCGCCTTCCATGAGTTCTTCATCGTCCTCAACGTCCTCCTCGTCGTCGTCTAGATCCATGCCTCCTTCTTCGCCACCAGCCTTGACTTGCTGGACCGGGGTATCCGCGGGGAAAAGCGATGCGACACCATCGTCCTGTGGGGTTTCGCCGTTCTGCTCCTCGTTCTCGTCGCCGGAATCCTCGAAGTCGTTTAAAAGCTCGTCCGCAAGAGTCGCCATGTTTGCGGTATTGGTATTCGGGAAAGAGGGATGAGGTCTCGTGAACGCGCTGAGCTTGGTGAGGTTTCGATAGAGGTCGACAGCTCGGTGGCGATATTACCAGACCGTGACGGAGGAGAGCTGCGGAAAGTTTAAGCTGTGGAGACGCGAACGTCGCGCCCGAGCTTTGACATGCCACGGTCTTGGCATCATCGGTGTTTCCAAGCGCCGACTTGAATCTGCGCGCGGCTCAAGCTCCAACTTTCTCGCCAAAACAAGCTCCTCACCTCGCCGTCCGCGCCTCGTCCCCCCAACGCGTCTTGCGTCTCCGATATCAGTGAAGCCGGGACAGAGTCCTCGATTTTTTTTCTCCCCGAAACTGCAATTAGGATCCAGGCCTGTCTCACCGCCCAACATGGAGTCCTCACGCGGCCCTCCCCGGGTCAAGAACAAGCAGGCGGCGCCCATCCAGATCAGCGCCGAACAGCTGCTGCGCGAAGCCGTCGACCGCCAGGAACCCGGTCTTCAAGCGCCTACCCAGCGCTTTGCCGATCTCGAAGAGCTGCACGAATTCCAAGGCCGCAAGCGCAAGGAATTCGAGGACTATGTGCGCCGCAACCGCCTTAATATGAACAACTGGATGCGATACGCGCAATGGGAAATGGAGCAAAAGGAGTTCCGCCGCGCCCGCTCCATCTTCGAGCGCGCGCTGGACGTCGACTCGACCAGCATCGTGCTTTGGGTTCGATACGTCGATTGCGAGGTCAAGACCCGGAACATCAACCATGCGAGGAACCTGCTTGACCGCGCCGTCACAATCCTGCCACGGATCGACAAACTGTGGTACAAGTATGTCTACATGGAGGAGACTCTGGGTAACATCCCCGGTACCCGTCAAGTATTCGAGCGCTGGATGTCTTGGGAGCCGGATGAGAATGCGTGGAGTGCGTACATCAAGCTGGAAAAGCGCTACAATGAATATGAGCGGGCACGCGCCATTTTCGAGCGCTTCTGCCAGGTCCATCCGGAACCCCGCAATTGGATCAAGTGGGCGCGGTTCGAGGAGGAATACGGAACGAGTGACCTTGTGCGGGAGGTGTTTGGGCAGGCTGTTGAGACATTGGGCGAGGAGTTCATGGATGAGAAACTGTTCATGGCGTACGGACGATTCGAGGCACGGCTCAAGGAGTTCGAGCGTGCTCGCGCCATCTACAAGTATGCCTTGGATCGCATGCCGCGGTCCAAGTCGATGAGTCTCCACAAAGCCTATACCCAGTTCGAGAAGCAGTTCGGCGATCGCGAAGGGGTTGAGGACGTCATTCTTTCCAAGCGCAGGGTGCAATACGAAGAGTCCATCAAGGAGAACCCTAAGAATTACGACAACTGGATCGATCTCGCCCGGTTAGAGGAAACGGCTGGAGATGCCGAGCGCGTCCGAGACGCGTATGAGCGTGCGATAGCCCAGATTCCGCCCACTCAAGAGAAGCGCCATTGGCGGCGATACATCTACCTGTGGATTTTCTATGCGCTCTGGGAAGAGATGGATGCCAAGGACGTCGATCGGGCACGCCAGATCTACAGCGAATGCTTAAAGCTCATCCCGCATAAGAAATTCACATTTGCAAAGGTCTGGTTGCTCAAGGCGCAATTCGAGATAAGGCACATGAACTTGGCGGCGGCACGGAAAACCCTGGGTCAAGCGATTGGAATGTGTCCGAAGGACAAGCTGTTCAAGGGCTACATCGAGCTCGAGCTCAAGCTCTTCGAATTCAGCCGTTGCCGGACTCTTTACGAGAAGCACATTGAGTGGAACCCCAGCAACTCGCAAGCGTGGATCAAGTTCAGCGAGCTGGAGCGCGGCCTGGACGACCTGGACCGTGCACGCGCCATATTCGAACTGGCCGTTCAGCAGGACACTCTGGATATGCCGGAGCTAGTATGGAAATCGTACATCGACTTCGAGGAGGAAGAGGGCGAGTACGACCGCACCAGGACGCTTTACGAGCGCCTGCTGGCGAAAACGGATCACGTCAAGGTCTGGATCAGCTATGCACACTTCGAGATCAATGTGCCGGATGAGGGCGAGGAGGAAGAGGAGGATGAAGAGCGCCCGATCAGCGAGGAGGCGAAGAGGCGCGCCAGAAGCGTGTTTGAGCGCGCGTACAAGAGCATGAAAGAAAAGGAGCTCAAGGAAGAGGTGAGTACATTGAGCAGAGTTCCGGCCACAAAAGAAAACCACAAGCTAACAAGCATTCAGCGCGTCGCCCTTCTCAACGCATGGAGATCATTCGAGCAGACTCACGGGTCGGCAGAGGACCTGGACAAGGTCGAAAAGCAGATGCCCAAGCGCGTCAAGAAGAGGAGGAGGCTGGATACGGCGGACGGCGGCATGGAGTTCGAAGAGTACATGGACTATGTCTTCCCGGCAGACACAGAGGGCGAAGCGAAGTTGTCGAAGCTGCTGGCAAAGGCGGCGGCATGGAAGCAAAAGGCAGATGTCGAAGGGGAGGATGGAGCATAGGTATAACAACGGCGAGAACGATGCTGAAAGGAGCTTCAGGCCAAATCCCAAGGCAACTGACGGAGAAAAACACATCCATCTTCAGCATCAAAGTAAGGCTTACAAGCCACCCCGAAGCATTCTTGCCATGATCGATGAGGCACACAAAAGTTTTAAGGCTATATCATTTCCTTTTTCATCGAGTTTACATGACGCCCTTCATCGCAATTACTTGCAAAAAAGGAAATATTCGAGAAAGGCCTGGAGAATGTGGGGCGGAGACTTGATGCATCGCGGGGTCACGCTTGGCTCTCGCATGACATTCGCCCGAGATGCAGCAAGCCAGCCCACCGGAGGTACTTGCTGCGTGGTATTACAGCATCCGACGCCACGTAGTGCGGTGGGCTGACTTGGTCGCGGGGTACATTCCCAGCCGGTATACCTTCCATCTCACCTATGCACTGATCTTGTCTTCCAGGTACTGCTGTATTAGACAGACCCATTGGATTCTCGAGACCGAGCTGGTTGGTTCTTGACTTGGACTCACTACTCCGGGCGCATCACTTCCCTTCTTTGGTAATCTCTGTTAACCATACTATTCGAAAGTGCCCAGGATGTTTGCCCAAGAAGGCAACAAACTCATCTTCCGCTACGATGCCGAGCACCTCTGGATCGAGCCGTGGGGCCCCAACGCCCTGCGCGTCCGCGCCACCAAGAACCACCAGATGCCCGCGGAGAACTGGGCGCTGGACGTGACGCCGCCTCCTCTCCCAGACCAACCAACCATCTCGATCGACAAAACGGCAGCAACCGGCGGCGCGACCATCACCAACGGCAAGATCCAAGCCTCGCTCACGGCGCGCGGCAAGCTCACGGTGCGCAACGCGCACACGGGCGCGCTGCTGCTGGAAGAGTACTCGCGCAACCGCAAGGACGTGACGGACCCGAAGTGCAGCGCGCTGGAGGTCGAGGCGCGCGAGTTCCGGCCGCACATGGCGGGCAGCGACGCGTACGAGCTGACGGCGCGGTTCGAGTCGCTCAGCGCGCGCGAGCGCCTCTACGGCATGGGCCAGTACCAGCACGCGCTGCTCGACCTCAAGGGCGCGGACCTCGAGCTCGCGCACCGCAACTCGCAGGCCAGCGTCCCCTTCGCCGTGTCCAGCCTCGGGTACGGCCTGCTGTGGAACAACCCGGGCGTCGGCCGCGCCGTGCTCGGCAAGAACGTCATGAGCTTCGAGGCCAGGGCGACCAAGGCGCTCGACTACTGGGTCGTGGCGGGCGAGGAGCCGAGGGAGCTGGAGCGCGCGTATGCCGGCGTGACGGGGACGGTGCCGATGATGCCCGAGTACGGGCTGGGGTTTTGGCAGTGCAAGCTGAGGTATCAGACGCAGGAGGAGCTGCTCGAGGTGGCGAGGGAGTATCGCAGGAGGGAGCTGCCGATTGATCTGATTGTGATTGACTTCTTCCACTGGCCGAAGCAGGGCGAGTGGAAGTTTGATCCGACGTACTGGCCCGATCCGGATGCGATGATCAAGGAGCTGAAGGAGCTGAAGATCGAACTGATGGTGTCGATCTGGCCCACGGTCGACAAGGTGTCGGAGAATTACGACGAGATGGTGGAGCATGGCTACCTTATCCGGACGGACCGCGGAGTCAGGACTGCCATGGACTTCATGGGCGATACCGTCCATGCGGATTTCACCAACCCTGGCGCCCGACAGTATGTATGGCAGAAAGTAAAGCAAAACTACTGGGACAAAGGCGTCCGCGTCTTCTGGATCGACGAGGCCGAACCGGGTAAGTTCACTTCTATGGCGGACGTGGGATTCAGGCTTGCAGTTTCCGCACCTACCCATACTCTACCTCATCACCCACCAACAACACTGACCACCCCTACCACAGAATACACCGCGTACGACTTCGACAACTACCGCTACCACCTCGGCCCCAACCTCCAAATCGGCAACCTCTACCCGCTGCACTACGCGCGCGCCTTCCACGACGGCCAATCCGCCGCGGGGCAAGCCTCCATCGTCAACCTCGCGCGCTGCGCCTGGGCGTCGTCGCAAAAGTACGGCGCCCTCGTCTGGAGCGGCGACATCGCGTCGTCGTGGCCCGTCTTCCGCGCGCAGCTGGCCGCCGGCCTCAACATGGGCCTCGCCGGCATCCCGTGGTGGACGACCGACATCGGCGGCTTCCACGGCGGCGACCCGGCCGACGAGGCCTTCAGGGAGCTGTTCGTGCGCTGGTTCCAGTGGGGCGCGTTCTGCCCCGTCATGCGGCTGCACGGCGACCGCGAGCCGCGGCAGCCGAGGCACGGGGACAGCGGCGGGGCCGAGTGCAGGAGCGGGGCCCCGAATGAGGTGTGGTCGTATGGGGGCAGCGTGTATGCCATCTGCAAGAAGTGGATGGGGGTGAGGGAGCGGTTGAGGCCGTATACGCGGGGCCTGATGAGGGAGGCGCATGAGAAGGGCGATCCCGTGATGCGGACGTGCTTCTATGAGTTCCCGGGGGATGCGAGGGCGTGGGAGGTCGAGGATCAGTATCTGTTTGGGTCCAAGTACCTCGTCGCGCCGGTGCTGTATCCGGGGGTGAAGACGAGGGAAGTGTACTTCCCGAAGGGCGCCACGTGGAAGGCATTTGAAGGCGGTGCTACGTTCGAAGGTGGGACCACGGCAGAGGTAGGGACTCCGATCGAGTCTATGCCGGTGTTTGTGAGGCAGTAGATGGGTTGATTCGGCTGCCGGGTTATCCGTCTATATGCTTGACGAAAACGAGCCTGTGGGGTGGCGATATGTGCGGGACCACCCGTTCAGGGTCTGCTCATCAACGCCAAAAAAATGCCATGACTGGACAAGGGTCTTCCGCTCTAAACATAGCCTCATGTATAAGGTCCAAGGGTATAACTTGATTTCATGAGCGGAAGCCGCCGCACTTCGCGAAGGAGAGAGTCGAAGATGTCAGTCACGCAGGACCACTTACGTCATGTGGTGGTCAGCCGGGAAAAGAGACGCATGCACACCGTCAGCCGCCACCATCCATCTTGATCTATCCGCTTTACCATTTGAAGCAACGCGCCCACCTATCTAATCGCTCCCGTGTCCTATTACCCACCTCATGTGCACACAACGGATACATGCACCGTAAGGCTGCAGCATTTTTGCGGAAGCCTAGAACAATGAGTCAAACAATTCTCCTTTGCGCGTTTCCAACGTCTCAATGTAGCCAAGCCCCTTGTACCACGTGAATACCTGCTTTACCGGTGGTTGGGGGCTAAAATCATCAGCATGAGGCGTCGTGGATCAGTGGAGGCGCAGACGATCAGAAGACTGGGGGGCAGCCTCTTACTCACTCCGCAGACTGCACTAATTAAACGCTCTCCATTTGTCAGCTGGCTACAATGATTCTATATTATCAGCACGCTAATGCTAAATCTGAAGGATGCTCTTCTGTTACTTCATTCCTCACTGACTTTCGGCATCCCAGGACATTCAACCCCTCCAAGATGCCTCTTTTTTCCTCTTCGCGAGCCAGGAGCGCAAGGCCCCCGGCGAGGCCTAGACCATCGGGAACTACATCAAGAACGGAAACGCACATGTCAACGCGACCATCGGGGACAAGTTCTGGGACAAAGACGCACCCCTCAGAGCGAGACTATCACCGACCGGGACGAACTTTATCTCCATCAACAGAAAGCGGCGACCGTTCTCCATGGGACCAAAGGCAACACTCTCGGGAACCAGTGCGGCGCCAGCCGCCAGGTCGGGACAATCACCTGGAACCTCCCACTTCCCACTCGTCCAGACCGTCATCCCGCGCACCGCAGCAAAGCGCTCGTCCCTCAAGACCAGCTTTACTTTCTCGGACATCGTCGTCAAACGCTGCAGTATCAAGGAGTCACTCATCCGCTCCAGATTACCGTCAGTCTTCCTCCTCGAGGTACCACTCGCCGGCGCCGTCACATCGCCAAACTGCTTCTGCACACCACTCGCCCGCACCGCACCATCGACAGCCCGCTTTAGCAGGCCACCATCCGTTCGCAGCAACATACTACCAGCACGCTGCATCCCCCAACCGCTGGGAGACTGCAGTACCAAGCCTACACCTACCTGGCCGAGAGAGGGTAGCGCCACCACAACCACCACCAGCAACAAACAACCGTCACTACAGCCCCCCGAGCCATTCCCCACTCTCGCCAACTACACATCGCTCTGAGCGATCGCCAATGCACCCGCCAGCATCGCCAACCTACTCTGCAGGGGCGCCAACATCGAGATATGCTCCCAATGCCACAGGCTTAAACAACAACCACTCCAACAACAGCAACAACTACCACAACAGCAACAATGGACTATACGGCCGCCTGCCACCCCCGCCACCATACCCACCACCAGCATCGCCCGGCGGATCAAGGTCGCCGCAAGGCGCTCAGCCCACGCACCACCAGCAGCATCCATATCGTCCTGCAGCACACCCCCGTGCCGCCGATCTCATCAATCCACACGGGCACGCCACTTCCCACGCTCCCACCGCCACCAACAACAACAACAACACCAGCAGCGCCCCTCCCGCCTCGCCGCAGCCGGCCAAATCAGCCGCGAAACCCAGGTTCTCGACGGCCGACGCGCTGGCAGCAACGGCCGGCTACTTGGACAACACGAAGACGATCATCGAGGGCGCGGACACGGCGTGGAGGTTCTGGGACGACCATCTCGCGCAGTGGGTGGTGAAGAAGGAGAAGAAGAAGAAGGAGGAGAAGAGTGATGGCGGCGAGCTGGACGGAGACGACGGCCAGAAGGAGGGTGGGGTCGTGGGGGAGAAGGACAATGGCGAGCACCACCACCACCACCGTCACGTCGGCAACGGCAACGGCAACGGCAATGCAGTGCCCAGCGAAGCCGCCGCCGCCGCCGCCGCCGGCCGCAGCCCAAACACAGCAAGCCCCGGCGCAGGCGCAGGCTCAGACGACCAGCACGACTCCTCCCATTACTACCACGACGACTCGGACTCCGACCAGGCCGATCCGCACTACTACTGCACCCCCGACAACAACACCACCGACGAATACGACGACGAATACAACGAATACGAATCCGACCCCTCACCGCCGGAGCCCTTCCGAGTCGGCGACCGCGTGCGGTTCGTCGAGGGGTCCGCCGGGCTGCACGGCAACAAGGGCCCGTTCGAGGTGTGCCGCGCGGACGCGGCGGCGGACGTGTACGATGTGCGGTTCCCGCCGGGGCCGGCGGGGCACGTCGTCGGGTGGGGGATCGAGGGGGACGAGCTGGATTTCGTGGGGTTTGGTGCTGGGCATGAGGATTGAGAAGGACGTACGGGGACGTGATCAATTGGAGGAGGGGGAAGGGGGAGAGGGTATGTAATGTGTATGTTGAGTTGTGAGCGGTGGGTTTGGCAAGATACAGGGTGGTGTGGTTGTAAGGGTTTATTCAAGTTGATCAAGGTAACGCTTTGGGAGGGGTTTGGGCTAGGAAGATGGGTTCGTGAACACTGTTGCACATCTAAGTGGTTGCTAAATATTCGGTATGCTCAAGTAGATCAACGGGTTTGCAGCAAGCTTGGACCTGAAGCGGGTGACACCAACCGATCCAGACAATGCATGTCGTCATGCCAAGTGAATGAGGCGATAGGTGTTTTCGTTGGGTGCTTTCGCTGTGGGGCTGGATTGGACTGCTTGCGTTCTCTCCCTTTCCACTAGTGATGCCAATATGTGTCGAATGCTCACGGTGCGCAGCGCGGTATCGCAGTTGTCGGAAATAACGCTCTCTACCCGGACTTCTGTCGAAGCTTTTGGTGGTAGACGCCAAGTGGACGCCCCAAGCGGTCCGCGGGGCTTGGTATGGCTTATCTGCCTCAGAAGCGGGGTGAGCTGCGACTACTGCCGGCCTGTGAACTATGGCTTTTCCTTTTATTGTACCCTGAGACTTGTCGTCATACAATCAAGAGCGTTCCTCCCATTGCGACAATTGAATAGGACCGAACCGCTAGAAGTGTTTTCTAGAAGCGTGAGCCTGCGCGTAATCAGTGCATCTCAAACGCTGATGGCCCGGCTTATGTGTTCGAGCGCCTTTCTCCGCACCAAGCGTGTCGATGACCCAACCGCCAAAGTGTCTTGGAACACCCAGCATCCGGTCCCTTGTGCCGCTCTATCCGCCCACGCGGCATTGGCAAATGAAGCGTATTGGAGCACCAGCCACGGAGAATACCCAAGGCTGTCATGACCCGCCGAAGAACCTGGCGAATCTTGGCAACCTTGTTCACCCCAGATGCTCCGCAAGGACGATCAGTTTCCCGTGCGATGCGGGGGCGAAACAGGGATTGCAGAGGAACCACGCACCACGACTGGACCACTTCGTCCCGCTATCGAAAGCCGACCCCGGCTTCATGTCGGAGACGACCCCAAACCGGGGTGGTCGGCTGCAGCCGTTCAGTTGGTCAGAATTTCTGATAAAGAGCTCGCTCCAAGGGTGTGCTGATTCCCCACACACCGTGAGCTTCACTTGCCTGTCCCCGAATACACGACGTGCCATCCAACATGGGACCTTCAACGGTCAATGCCTACAGCCCAAGCCAGGTCACGGAGATGATCTCCCGGGCTGGCGTGCACAAGGGTCGCATGCATCCACTGAAAGTCTTTCTATCTTCCGTCAGCGCCGGCTGCCTCCTTTCCTTCGCCGCCGCCTCGTGTCTTACCGCCAACACAAGTCCTTGGGTAGGGCTCGTCATGTGTCAATTTTCCCCTGTGCATCCGACTGACGCAGTCTCGCAGCTCCAAGAAAATGCACCCGGTCCGGCCAGACTGCTCGGCGCCATCGTCTTCCCTTATGGCTTGGTGTTGATCATCCTCACCGGTGCTGACCTTTGCACCGGCACTTTCATGGTGCGCACAACACGCTACCGCTGACGACCACGCCATTGACCTTCGCCTCAGTACACGACCGTCGCCGTGCTGCACCGTCGCTTGTCAACCTGGAGAATGCTGCTTCACTGGTTCATCACCTTCTGGGGCAACCTCGCAGGCTCGCTATTCATGGTCGCCATCATCTTCGGCTGTAAGAAGGAACCCCCCTCCCTCCCTCCCCATACAAAGCTGGAGCTTATAAACCTTCGACAACAGACGGCGGCGTCTTCAGCACCGATCCCTACAAAGCCGAAGTCATCGCCTTCACGACCAAGAAGCAAGCCACACCCGACTTCCACATGATCTTCCTCCGCGCCATCGGCTGCAACTGGCTCGTGTGCCTGGGCTGCTTTTTCGCCATGCAGGCGCGCGACCTCACCTCCAAGATCGTCGGCATGTGGTGGCCCATCTTCGCCTTCGTCTCGCTCGGCTTCGACCACGTGGTGAGTGGGCATCTTTTTTTTTCTTTCTCCCTCCCTCCTTTACTGACCTTTGTGTTCCACCTCTGAACCCCAGGTCGCAAACATGTTCTTCATCCCCATGGGCATCTGGGTGGGCAACCCCTCCATCAGCGTCGGGCTCTACATCTGGAAAGGCATCATCCCCGCCCTCATCGGAAACATCCTCGGCGGCGCCCTCTTCTGCGGCGCGTACTACTGGTACATGTACCTGTACGAACAGCAAGCGCCGCTCATCGACGGGGTGCCGTACGAAGAGCATGACGATGTCGAAAAGGCCATTGGGCACGAGCACGTTGAGAATGCGAGCCGGTTGGGGAGGAATAAGCTGAGGGAGGAAAATGGGTCGTCGTCGCTGGAGCAGGAGGCGAGGGCGATTAGGGAGACAGGGGCGTAGGAGTGGTGGGATGAGAGACGGCCAGTCAAGTGGCTTCTTCGCCTTGTCGGATAGTGGAAGCGCCAGGTGGAAAATACGCCCCTGTACTGAATAAATGTTGCAGAATCTTCCAATCCGCGTGTGAAAGCAAATGCGTTACTTGAAACCCGTACCAAGAATACGGTTTTCCCCGACTAGCATCCACACTGATATCTCTTGCTACGAGCTTCTCGCGGCTGCAAGTGCATGTTGTAGTGAAGTGAGAGTACGAATCGAGGTTTTGCTCCAGGCCGTTCAAAGGCGACGGCTTCACCGTGCTCTTTCCAAGGAGCGCTTTTGCTGCTGCGCGCCATCCATCCTACAGTTTAGTGGGGGTGGCTTTCCAGAGCTTAAGTTCCTGCCGTTTGAAGATGGAGGGACTTCTAACCAACAAGCATCAACTCGGACGTGAGCGAGAATTGCGTCAATCTCTTTGTTTCCCTTTGGCGAGAACTGCATCACCAATTTGGACCCGAACAGTGCATTAGCCAGCGTCTGAGTTCGGATTTCTGGTGCAACTCTCATCATCTACCACCGGGTCGCATTGGTTCTCGTTCTCTGCAGACATCTCTTCCTTGTCTGTACTCCGAACATCATCGGCGACGCGACTCCCCACGGCCTCGCCATCCTTCCCGTCGTTCCGCAACGCATCGGCAGCCTCGGTATGAGCCACCTCGTCTTCCCCATCCAACTCCTCCCCACCACCCCCCATCCCCTTCAAAATCTCCTCCTCAACCTTATCCAACTCCTTCAAAACAAACGCAATCGTCGCATCCCTCGCCTTCTCCAGCCTCACAAGCGCCTGCACCGGCATCCTCTCATACTCCATCCGCTTCTTCCCCACCTCCGTCCCACCACCACCGCCGTCTTCCCCGCCCCCCAACGCGCGCTTCTTCCCCGCCAACAACCCCCTCAGCACCTCGACACTCCCATCCCTCTCCCTCAACACCCCCACCAACCTCCCCTTCTCCTTCTCCTTTTCCTCCTCGCCCCCATCCCCCTCCTTCTCCTTCTCCACCGCCGCCCTCCACCTCCCCACCGCCTCCCTCGCACACCTCTCCACATGCTCGAACCGCACCGGCCCCAACATCACCCCGCCATACCACCTCGCCACCACCACGACCCCCTCCCGCACGTCGAGCGCCTCCAGCACCGCCGCGAGGCGCCTGCCCGCGTGGGACTCGCCGTCGTCGTCGAAGGATGTTTGGTAGAGGACGGCGTTGGTGTTTTTGGCATCGTTTTTGTTTTTGTTGCTGATGTTGGTGCTGCTGGAGGAAGAAAACAGGGTCCGTTGCGTCGAGGGCCGGCGCCAGGCGGCGATGCGGTGGGTGGCGGTGCGGAAGTCTGGGTGGGCTTGGAGGGCGGCGGCGGGGGGGTGGGAGGGGGAGAGGTGGGGGGTGAAGTAGGCGTGGAAGGTGGAGTGGCGGTCGGTGAGGGGGGCGGAGCGGTAGATTTGGGAAGATGGTGGTTGGGCGGCGGCGGCGGCGGCGGCGGGGGTGGGGTGGTGCAGCTTGGTGGTTTTGGGAGGGCGGTGGGAGTGGTCGTGGGCTTGGGCGTTGGCGGCGTTGTTGTTGTTGTTGTTTTTGTCGAGCGCTGGGGGACCGCGCTTCAGGGACATGGCGTGGTTTGACTGGCTGGCGCTGGGGGATGTGTTGATTTGTGGATGGCGGGGGTGGTTTGGGTGGTGGTCGGGAGCTTGGGCGCCGGGTTAGTGGCGGCTAGGTATCACGTGTGGACGCGGAGAGGTGGCGCGACGCGACGCGGCGCGATGCGACGCTTGTCCTACATGCAACGCTTGTCCCACATGCAACGAGACGAACGTTCAGCATGTCTTCAGTGATGTATGTAGGGAGCCTTCTTTCAATTTCCAAGACGAGTGCTACTCCACCTGAATGCGCCCAGACCAATTGGTCCCAGAGGTATGTACAACGTAGCTCCGCAACAGTAGGTCGTCAGGACTGGTACAGTCACTTCGGACTCGAACATGGCCCTTCCAATAATACTACCTGGCATGAATCCATTCGCAGTCTTGGCTATCCTTCCGCAATCCTCAGCACCTTACGTCACCCCCAACGTCAATCAAGTCTTCTTTCCTACGAGAGCAACGCCCGTCCGTTTCAACTCCGCCCGCACACTCGTGGACGACCCACGTCAGCATAACCTCAGCCAGCCCTGTGGGGGTGTCTGGACGCATGCTTTCGTCATCCAGGTACGCATACTTAGTCGCCTAAAAAAAAAGCCGACGGGGCCGGGCCTGCGCCACACACGCGCGCTACTGTTACAGGGCGCGCGGCGGGCCAGCCACACACGAACACCCCAACACTAGCTACCAACGACGCCGATGCCGACCCACTTATGATAGGGGTAGATGGACGGAAAGCACATTCTAGGCTTTGGTTGATCTCGAGCCTGTGTCGTCAGCGCAGGCAGGGTTGCCGAGAAAAGAAACAAACGCATAGCAAACCTAAAGCTAGAATCCGCACACGGCAGGAAACAATAGAAAAAGAATGGGGCAAAAACACAGGAATGGCTGATGAGCAGCCCTACAACCCAATACGAGTACCGACGTCCCGAGTGACGGCCTAATGGGACGGACGGAGAAACCTCTCACTGCAACCTTTCCCTTACACGTGCCTGCCCCCGATTCCTGTCCGTCGGTGGTACTACGTACAGCCGACGCCCTGTAGTCTGGCACCGGCCTGTCTAGAGCCAGCTCATCTGACGTCCGCCGCCCAACCCGTTTTCCCCCCAACGGTGGCTAGTCGCGATCCTCCAATAAGCAAGGAACCAAAAACCCCTCAACCGCCAACGACCATCTCGGCGCAACAATAATGCTTCTCTGTGTCTCGAAACAAGTCCGATTGCATTCTAGAACAACCAGGCTGCCGCATGAACGTCTGCCCCTTCTTGAAACCTTGATCAAAGTAGCAGGGAGCCCCCGGCTCTCTCCTCAACACTGTAGTTATTCTTGTCCTCCATGCCCATCGACGCTGCAGGGTTGACCATGCTTGCCGGCGTCCAACACGCCTCTCTCGGCCTATTTTCAGCAACCACCCATGGCATATCGCCCATCCTCATGCACGAAACTGCCGAGAGGGGACCTCGCCGAAGCAGCCCGAGCTCCCGCCTCGCTTCCCCCCGCAACGACCTGACTCAATCCCCTCGATCAACAGACAGCAGCAGCAGAGAAACGGGCTGCGTGAATCATTACAGACCAAATAGTATTACCATTACTAAAGACGATACATCATCTTTTTTTTTATTCCCGTCGCCATCGGAAACCCCCGAGAGAAGCAACCAATCAAGCCGAACACACAGACCGAAAAAGCCAGCAGAGAAGGACCCCAGCTTTGCGGGCCAGCAAACCAGCGACGACCGTAAGCGACGGCGTGTGGAGAAAAGAAGAGGAAGGACTTGGGAGGGAGGGGAACGGACGGCCGGACGAACCATACAAACGAACACACGTAGTAAGTAGCGGGGAGTCGGGCCGGACCCGGACCACATACGTGAGCACACACCAGATGACAACCAAGCAGGACCGAAAGGAAGAAGGGAGGAGCTCGAAGAGCCCGCCGTCGTCAGAGACGTGGGGGGAGCGAGAAGCAGGTTCCCTCCATGGAGCGAGCGAGCGAGCAAGCAAGCAATCCATCGATTTTAGCTCAAAACAATAAAAGCAAAAAATCACACTGCAGTGGTGGTATTTCCGACGAGAAATGATGAAAAGACAAACGCAACAACAGGAATTGCTGCTCGTTTCCCAATTGACAACGACTGGAAGCGAATAGAGGGTAAAAGACACAAAGACTCCAAGTTAACCCATGTACGTACATCGAACTTCATGATAAAGAACAAAGCTCCAGGTCGAGGCTTCAGAACCTCTCTGCAAGGAGAGAAATAGAAGAGAATAAACTCCAGTCAAACCGCGTCAAAGTCGGCATGACCAGAGAGACGAAAGGTAAGTAAAAGGCTGATGCAGACGCAAAAGCAGACAGAACAACAACAAGACGAAAACAGAAAAAAAGCTCGGCTCGGGAAAAGTAATTTGTGTCAAGAAATCTTTCGTCTTCTTTACTTCATTATCATCTCTTCGAAAAGAGAGGGGGAGTAGAGGGGGGGTGTAGAAAAAAGTAAAAAATAAAAAAGGGAAGAAAAAGTGAGAAACCGGGAGACCCGCTCGCCCCTCTCCTCTTCCCTCTTTCCACACCCCCTCCTTCGTAACGTTGAGCGCGTGTTGTGACGCTGAGTCCTCTCATCAGACCCGTCTTCGTCGTATCGTTTCTGCTTGAGAAAGAGAAAAAGAAAAAGAAAAAAGAACACACAAGAATAAACAACCCCAATCAATCAATCAATCAATCAATCAATCCCCCCATCAATCCCCCCATCTTCCTTTCCCCTCTTCCTCAACGACTCCCACCCCCCAACACCTCAAAAATCCCCCCCATGACCACGCCCCCCGCGCCGCCATCCACCCTCGCCACCCCCGGCCGCGGCTCCATCACATTCAGCACGCCGCTCCCGCCGCTCCCAAACAGCGCGCACTCGTCGGCGATCTCGCGCTCGATGTGGATGCGCGACTGCTTGCGGCGCAGGGCGAGCAGGCTGCGGATGCGCGAAAACGACGACGAGCTCGAGTTCGTGCTCGTGCTGCAGTCCGACGACGTCGTCGACGACGGCGAGAGCGTCGAGTCGTGCGTGTTGGCGTGGCTGCTGGTCGGGGGCGTGGTGAAGGCTTGGTGGTGGTAGCCTGATGAGGTCGAGGTGGACGAGCCGGATGCTGTGTGGTAGTGGGATGCGCCGGTGCTGGCGGTGGTGGAGGTTGTGGTCGTGGTGGTGGAGATTGCCGTGGGTGGTGCGGCGAGGTCCTTGGTGTTGAGGCGGTGGAGCGAGGGGAGGCGGAAGGCGTGCCGAGGCATGGTGTTTGGCGTGTTTCTCTTTTTTTTTATTCTCCGGTGTGTGTGGGTGTGGGTGTGGGTGTGTTGCGAGATGAGATCGGCGGGAGAAAATGAGTAGTGGAAGAGGGGTTTTGTTTGCAAGTGGTTGAGATGGAGGGAGATCGAGCGATGGTGGCGGCCAGGGGACCGGTTGCGGTGACGTCGGACGAGGATGCGTCGAGTCAAGAAAAAGGCGTTTCCGGAGCTCGAGCTGGCCCAAACCGGAGGGGTCAGGCGGTGGTGGGTAGCTGTTTTTGGGCCGTGGCGTGACGGCGTGACGTTGGGGTGCGGATGACCTGCAGCAAGGCTAAAGTGGTTGCTTGGGCGTGGGCAACGAGTGGGCAGCGAGTGGCGTAGTTCTCTCGGAGTGCAAGCGAATGGCGGGAGGAGAGATGGGAGCTCGCAGGCTCAGAGCGGCAGGGCTGGGGTAAATAACAAGCCGGGCGCGGTCTGAGCTAGAGTGCGTCTGGGGCTGAATGAGGCAAGGCGCGTGGTTGTCGGAGCCGCGAGGCAGTCGAGCAAATTTGTCGTGGAATGCTGAGTGCGACAGGCGGCAGAAAAGGGTTGGCAGGGGCTGGAGGATTAGTGGAGAGCAGACGTGGCTCGCAGCTGCAGGGTCCAAGGCACGGCCGGTGTGTAGGTTCGGGGCGCGTGATGGGAGGTGGTTCTATGAGGGCAGTCAGGCGGCAGGCGGCCGCGGCCGGCTTATAACGCTCTGGGAGCGATAGAGTTGGCGGGCTGGGCCTGGGGGATGTGTCGCGACGGGTTGGTGCATCGGCCAGGGGAATGCTCGCGCGTCGGCGCCGCAGCACCGCGTCAGACAGCCGTCTCAGCCCGCATAACAGGCGTGCAACACAGCCCTACCCAGCCAGAGGCCGCGCATCCGGCCGCCCTGGGGGGTGCCTGGCCTGCAACCACGGTACCGATGGCGCAACCGAACATGTCCGCAATCGTCAGCCCGCCCAAGTCCAAGCCGTCCCTGTCGCGGCTTGTGCCTGAGACGCGCTACCGCACATGTGCGACGTCTCACCATCCTGGCAAATCTCGCACGCGTTGTGCCTGCCCTGCCTGCCCTGCCTGCCCTGCCGTGCGTGGTGCCGCCTCCGAGAAGTCGCGGCCGCGCCCCGGCCCACGTGTCCTGCCAGCTGGCGGCACTTCTTTCGACATCATACTACGCCCGCCCCGCGTGACTGCGCACTTCTTCGCCCGTGTGACGACCAGCCTGGCAACGACCGACATCTCGGCCGGCACGCCATGGCTCCGTCGCTTATCTGGCCCCCATTTCATCATATCTCGCTACCTGCGCACTTGTTCATTTTCTTGATAGCGAGGGACAGTGGGTCTCGCGACATGCCTATTCCTCTCTTCACGCGACATGCCGGCCCGTGACCCTGACATATTATCGCATGTGCTATGTATATTGCATTGCCTTTCGTTCCCTTTCCCACTCTCGACCGCGGAGAAGAGGCCAGATTGCGTCGGGACGCTGCAGCAGAGCCGAGTGAAGCGGCACTGCGGCACTGCGGCACACGCAGGCAGACAGGCAACGCACGCACCGCGCTCACCTCACAGCAACTGCATCGTTGCACACCGCCCGAGAGGAAAACCCACCCCATCACATCACACCTTGCCAGGGTCCCTTGTGAACAACGCATCAGAAACCACGTCCACACACACGCGCGCGCGCGCCGTCCCGTGTCTGCTCTCCTGCCGTCAAGCTCTGTCCCGCCGTCTCTTCAGCCTAAAAGATAACGAATCAAACCTGTGACATATGCGGTCCAAACCACCATTGGCCAATTTTCTACAGGGAGAAGGGAAAGAGAAGGCGGAGAAAGAGGAAAAAAGAAAAAGTGGAACAATCTCAGAATAGATAGACAGGACGAACGCCATCGCTATGCTACCACACATGTCCCGGGGGTTCACTTTTCTTGCATCCGACCATCCCCTGACTCCCCCCGTGCTCAAGACAGACTCCTTCCAAAATAGAAAAATCTAGGCACACGATGGAACAGCGAACCAGAACCCACCTCAACTGGTCGAAAGAGCAAGAACATGGCCACTGTACTGCTTTTTTCCCCCTCTTTTTTCTTTCCTTTTCTGAATCCTTTCCCCTGTTGCTGTTCAATCATCCCTGCATCCCTCTGCGCGTATGTAAAGTGCACTCTGCATAGCACGTACAACTCGCCCACTCTCTTCCTCACACATACGCACACAGAGACGTGAATGAAAAGGTGAGAAGATAGAAGGAAAAAAGAAAAGAAAAAAAAAGGTAGCCTCGCGCGCACACACGCGCATTCGCAACGCAGTAGTCTCCTTAGAAACCACCCCTCCCAGATTCCGCAAACCCGAGAACCCCGAAATTTACCCCCTTCCCCGCATCGGATGAAGAGTGACATATTATTTTTATCACCCACCTTCACCCACCTTCACCCACCCACCTCCTATTCGTTCAGACAGACAGAAGGAAAAAAAAAAAAAGAGGCCAGCCACATCATGATCATCATCATCTCCCTCCCGGCCTCCTCACCGTGAAGCTCTTCCGGATGCTCTCGCCCCAAATGCTGTTATCCAGCACCTCGAGCACATCCTGGGCGCTGACGTCGCTATTCTGCCTGCTGCGATGCCCGCCGCCGGGTCCGCCGCTCGCCTGTTCGCCCGACGCGGCCGACGTCCCGCTCTGCCTGTAGCCCGACCCGACGCCGCCGGGCAGCGTCGACGAGCGGCTGACGCCGCTGGGTCCCGCGGCGGCGGCGCCGACGACGCTGCTGTGAGCCGTCGCGGTGCTCATGCTGTCGTGGCCGAGCCGGCCGCCGCCGCCGCCGACGACGGGGCTGGCGGGCCGGCTGAGGTTGAGCGCGCTGGCGAGCTGCCAGTTGAGCTCGGCCGGGTCGAGGGGGGCCGGGTGGCTGCTGGCGTGCGGCGAGTGCGTGGGGCTGAGGGTCGGCGACAGCGGGATGCTGTGGAGGGCGCCGGCCGGGCCGCGGGTCGGGCTCATGATGGGGCTGGCCTGGATGCTGTTGGCCCGGCTCTGGATGGGCGTCTTTTGGATGCTGTTGGCCCGGCTGCGGGAGGCGCCTTCCGTGTCGAGCGGCGGCGGGGGTTGGGGCCTGGCGTCGAAGAAGCCGCCGTCGCCCGCCGACGATGGCGGTGCTTGGTATGGTGATAGGGAAGGCGACGGTAGGCTTGACTCGGGTCGCGGGCCGCCGGCTGGGCTGGCGTCGTCGGCCATGGTGAACTCGAACTGTGGCACTGTGGTCATGCGGCCTGCTCGTTTGGCTTCCAATGCGCGGCGGAAGCGACGCGCCCAGAAGAGCGTGTCGAAGAAGCCGATGACGATCTTGCGCTGCACCGACTCTTCCACGCGTTGCAGTCGAGCCTTGCGCCGAAGGAACTCCTCGAGTCTGAAAACCAATGTCAGTGTTTACCAATCTAAAATGCTTTGGGGAACACGCGTACCTCAAGCTCTTGTTGTCGTTGATGACCTTGTAGTGAGCAAGAGTAATGAGAAGCGAGGTGAAATGGATGCCTCTGTCAGGATCTGCGCCATTGATCATCTCCTCGAAGAACCTGTTCATCCGTGCTCTCCGCCTACGAATCTCCTCGCATGGCAGCTCAGATAGGCGCCTGTTGAGCTTGTTGAGGTCGATTTCGGGTGTCTGTTTTCTACCTTCAAGTGGGAGGCCATGGTCGGGAAGTGGTTTGCTGCAATCTTCGATCATTCGGCTAACCGTGAAGTCGCCGTCGTAGATTCGCATCTCGAAGACACCAGAGAGTTCCTATACCGATCAGTAACAGTAAATCTTTCCAGGTCAGGGAATTACTTACGCCAAGCAACCGCGGAAACTTCTCCTTGGGGATGAATCCACTGCCATGGGGATCGAACTCTGCCCAAGCTTGCTTGTATCGACGGATCTCCTCGCGGCTGATGACGGACAATCCGCTACTGCGCTGGTACACGTACGAGAAAGACTCGTAGATGAGCGAGACGAACAGGTTGACGAAGATGTACATGCTGAGCACGTTCCAGAGGATGAAGAGAGTGCGGGCCCATTCAGCACTGCCGCAATCGCCATCGTAGAACTCGTCGCCCACCGTACAGAAAGGTGGCTGAATGGCTGCAAAGTCTTCCATAACCTCGTTCCAGCCTTCACCACTGGACATCCGGAACAAGAGTATGAGCGCCTTGGGCACGGTTCTGAAGTTGATATTGCCACCTTCTTCCGGTCCAAACCTGGTCAGGCCGAACGCCTGCGTGAAAGCAATGGCAAAAACAAGGAATAGGACAAACCATGTGGCGAGGAGGTTGGCAATGGATCCCACAGATGCGGCAGCGGTTTTGAAAAGCTGATCGAGTTGATTGTTCCGGGGAATGAGAAGCAGAGTGATCGAGACGAGGAAGAGCTTGTGCAGCTGAACGTAACCACGGTCATCAAAGTTGGTGAGGAGGAGAACCGTCGTGTCGAACGTGCCAAACACGACGAATAGGGAGTAGACATCCCAAGAACTCCTACGAAAGCGTGTCCAGCCCAGTCCAATGATCCGAACCGTGATGTTCGCCGTGTAGATTAGGGTGAGGAGCAGGAAGACATAGTCTCGAGTACGTCCCCATTGCCATGGTTCGGGGTAGTATTCCAGACAAAGCAGAAGCAGGTGAAGAATGAGGATGAAGGTTATGAACCTCTGCCACCGGCCAGTCTTCTTTACTGCGCGGCGATAGCACCATTCCTCCCATGTCTCTCGCTTCTTCGTAGAGGACGGTCTCTTCGAAGGGGAGATTTGCCTAAGCAGCTTGCGCAGTTCGAGCCATGAACGTTGGTCTGTCGTCAGGTATGCAACACCCGTTTGTTCGGTATAATTGCGCATGAAGACGGACACGAACAGCGTCAACACGAAGACGGCACCGAGCAAGTTGAATACCACAAAGTATACCGCGTTCCCCTCTGAAGCAAAATCTTCGGGCTGTCGGAAGACCCCAGTAATGGCAGAGGCAGAGTACATGACGTCAATCCAACCTTCTTGGGAGACAATCTGGAAAAGAATGAAGAGGGAGTTCCCGAAATTATCGAAGTCGTAATAGGGATTCGAAGCCTGACGAGGGGATAGGACCTCCCAGTTAAACGGCGTGCCGAGGTACTCCCCAACGCAGTCGTTAAGATCTACAATATTGGAGTCTCCGTCGTTGCATGTGTACAAACGGCCGTTGAAGAGGTTGAGACCGTAGATGGCAAACGGAATGAGAAAGCTCAACGAGACGAAGGCAGCCGACATGACCTTCCAACCGCCCCGAACAATGACGTGGTGGAAAGTGTTCCGAGCACTATCGCTGACGTTTAACAACCTCAAAGCTCTTAGAGCTTTGAACGCGCCGACGGCTCGTGACACGTCTCCTTCGTTCAGCAAGAGGGTTGCAATGTTGATCCACAGCGTGATCAACACGACGCCGTCGATGAATCCCCAGGAGCTTCGGAAATATGCATTTGGTGTCCAGAAAAACCCGTCGGCGATGACCTTGATGAGGGCCTCAACTGTGAAGAGGATAGCAAAGCCTAAGTCCGTGTACACGAACCAGTTGTAGACGCTGTATCCGTGTGACTCGAAATACTCCTTTTGGTAGACCGGAGTGGTGATGCAAGCAAGAAGCACCATGGCAACGATGGCTGCATAGATGAACGCTGAGAAAGCGTACCAGACGGGAATTGAAGGCGCCACACCCTCGATACGGTCGTCGCCACGTCCTGGTCCAACAATGCGCTGGCACATCCTTCTGATGAAGCTATGGGGCTTGAACATGAAGAGCGAGACGTTGTAAGAGGGATACTTCTGCAAATATTCTCGTTGCGCTTTCTTCCTGCGCTCGGTGGCCGACACGACTTCATGTGCCATCGTCCGGGGGTCCAGATCTTCGTACGCCTTGGAGAATTCAAGTCGAGAGTAGAAAGGATTTGGCTCCCGATGCCATACTCTGCGGACGAAGTGATTCCATAGTCTTGTCATTACGCCGACCTTCGCTATCTTTCCTGTGGTGTTATGCCGTGCTTCTCCATTGTGGCCGTGAGAATCTGTTCCGGCGAGCAGGGGTTGCTCGGGCTCATCAAGGAAGTCTCGAACTACAGCATCCTTGAGCAACATCTCAGTAGCAGCAGTGCCGTAGTCAAGCGGATCCCTTTTTCTTCCGGCGGTCACTTTGAAAATAGTTGACAGCGCAAGATTGCCAGCCGTGGACCCCCCAAGCTCTTTCTGATGCAGGAATGCCTTGACCTGCTGAAGCCGCTTCTCATCTTCTGATACATCAAAGTTCTCTTGGATGACAGCAATGAACATGTTCAGGACGATGAAGTTCGACAAGATATACCAGATAATCAGAAAAGAGGCTCCGATCCAGGCGATATTATAGGTAACTTGGTACTTTTGAACGGTGAAGAGGACGTCCGTCCAGTTCTCGCTGGAGAGCAGTTGATACATGCCGAGAAAAGAGTTGAAGAGGGTGGAAAACGTGACTCGTATTGCTTCCCCGTCGTCCTCTTCAGGGAGCTCGCCGCGAAAGATCTGAGCGGCGAAAAGAGCGGCCAAGAATGTCAAGAGGAACACGAACAGGATCAGGTTGAGAAGACCGTAGACGTTGCCCAAGACGGTCATGATGAGTTCGCGTGTCAGTGAGACGGCCAAGACCACGCGGTAGAAACGCATGATCTGGAAGACAGTCATCCAAGCGTAGACACGTTCTTTGCTCCTGATGGGAGGAAACTGCATGATGGTGGTGATGATGGCAAGAAACAGATCTAGAAGGTTCCTCCGACGGCGATGAAAGTTTCTCCAGTCTGCGACAAAGCGGAAGATGATCTCGAGAAGGAGGAACGCTGTCACGACAAGTTCGGTTCTGTCGATGAAGTGCTCCCGATGATCGCTCATGTCGTGGCTCCGCAAAGCTTGGACGATTAGATCAAAAACAATGAGCAGAACCCAGAAGGCCCTGGTTTTGAGATACACCACAAGCAAAGGGGGCTTGCGCCTTTGGGGCTCCACCTGCTCTTGCTTTTCCTCTGGACCTTGTGCGACTTCTTGAGCCGTGAAGGCACTGGTCTTGCTCTCGTCTCTGATGACCTGGAATGACGACGTGATTACGGCAATGAGCAAGTTGATCAGCCACAGCGCCATAATGACAATACCAAAAGCAAAGTAGAGACAAGCGGCCAAGTAGTCGCTGTCCGACAAATTGTACATGATGTCGGAAAAAGTATTGGAGGTCATGATGACAAAAACCAGCTCTAATGACTGGAATATGTTATCGTAACTGATGGTGCCGTTTTGTTGATTTTCGCCTTCGATGCATTGCGCGGGCCACGGGCAGAGATAGCCTTTGTTGTAACTGGATCCTTCCAGTCCGTTGGCGGTGATCCATGGCATTGCTGTTCCATTCGCAAGAAGGTATCCTCCACAGTATTGCTCGGTGGTGTAGTCGTCCTGTTTGCCCGCTGGATCTATCCACACGCACGTTCGCCTGAGGCTGGACTTGAAACTCTGGACTCCGATAATGGCAAACAGCAACCAGAAGAAACTGATGAGGAAGCCGACATTAACAAGCAATGGTGCTGCTCTTTTCAGACTTCGCAGAATGACCGTTGTGCCGCTAGTAAGACCAAGGAGACGGAGAATGCGCAAGCAACTGAGCATGCGGAAGACGTAGGCGTGGTTGTGTTCCTCGACACCAAACACCCCAATGATGAAACTGATCCAGAACGATACGACGGCAACGAAGTCGAGTCGATTGAAAGAGTGGCGCAAAAAAGCTCGATGAGCGAGTCGTACTCTCTGCTGCTGCCGGAGATTGGCTGGATCATCCACGTCCAGTTGGTAGGTGGTAAAAGAACGAAAGAGTACGGGCTGTTCCGGCGGTAGTGTCGGTTCCGATTTCTTAACCGAGGGTTGACGCTGAGGTCCGGCGAACAGTTTCTTGCCCTTTTCTATCATGGCTTGCCGCACGCCGATCTGGCGATTGATCGTACTGTACTCAACCGGGTTGACGATAAAACCGGACACTATTACTCGTATTATGATCTCGATGGTGTAGATTACGAAAAGGGCCAAGAGGAAATAGTCTATCCAGGTAGTACCCCAGTGACTGGACCGGGGATGTGTAAACACGCTGCGAGCCGAGTCTATAGTGAGCAGAACGGTCTGCATAACGATACAAAGAAGAAGAATGGGTTCCGTGGCAGGGTGCGTCAGAACGTCGCAGAGCTTTGTCCTGATGGCACTGTTCGGCGGAAAAACCCCTAGAGATTTGCCTTTCAGAGGGTTTGCCTGGTATCTCCAATTGAAATTAGGCCGATGTGTAGGTGAAGGAAGCTTCTCCAGCGGTGACCCAGGCGAAAGAGGGGAGCGCGGGGAGCGCGGAGACGGAGGCACTCCATCATTACCATACGCGTCTGCAGATGGCCACTCATCTTCCGCCGCTTGCTGCTCTCCTTGCTTTTTCTGTGAAGACTTCCGACGAATGGCACGTTCAATAAGCTCAGGTTCGTTACTAATATTAACGACACGCTGAGAAATATTCCTCATCATGGTTCCAGCCCGTCGGAGAGGGGATTCTAGTGCTGACGGAGAAAGCGATCTCGTGCGTCCGCCTGAACCTGAACGTCCAAGAGTCGAAGTGGACAAACGAAGGCCGGCTTCAGCTTGACCAAGGTCATCACCAAGGCGTGCATTTCCTGGCGAAGCCGAAGCACGTTCCGGGGTCAAAAACTGTACGCTCTGAAAGCTAGAGCGGCCGGTCTGCTCCACAGGAGTCCTGGGCTCCGCGCCGGGCGAAGTAGGTGCAAGGTGGCGAGTGTTACCGTCCGGGTCTGCATCTCTAAAGTAGCCTTGGTTGTCTTCTTCCGGTATCCGGGTATCGTATAATGTGCCATCGCTGGGATGTAGCCAAACGGGCGGACTCCGAGGGTTTCCAGGCGCCACGATTGAAGGTTGATCCCGGCGCGAAGAGTCGCCCTCGAACGATAGACCTGCAAAACCAATGGCGTTCTGAAACGCCCCCACATCTCCTACAGGGCTGATCGGCGAAGACGCGGGACCATGGCCACTGTTGTTTAGCCCTTGTGTTGACAGGTGGAGCGGCGACGGCCGAATCGCGTCCGGCGGGGGACTGGATTCACTGAGCGGCGCATACCTGGCGTTTCGCGAGTCCCGGCTGCGTAACAAGCTCCTCCCCCGGTCGCTGAGGGTCCGGCGATGCGGCGAATCGGCGTGGTCGGCGTCAGGGGGGCGGCTGAGGTCTTGGAGCGGTATCGATTGCGGCGCCGACTCGTCGCGAGGATAGCGTTGATTGTTGTGGTGATCGGCCATGGTAACGAGCGACACGTCCCTAGGTCACTATGCGCACCAATGTGGCATCTGGACCGTGGGCGATGGAAGGCGGGCGAGAGCTGGTGGGCGGGCGGCGGAGCAGGTATGCGATAATCTGGGGTAAACAGCACTGCGGGCTTCACAGATCCGGGTGATCTGTGCGCCGCAGCGTGGTGTTGCGGTCGAACGGGGGTCTTGGTGGCGCGCGAAGGGGGGCTCGAGGTGACGGCGCAGAAGGTGGGAGTGCGTGAAGGCGGCGGGAGTGGTGTTGGTTGAGGTGTGGGCGAAATGTGTCGTCGCGAAGATAGCGATCGCGGACAGCTTGGCGCGGGATTGTGCATGCAATACGGCCTGGCGTCGGAAGCAGAGGCACGTATGGCAGCTCTCAGGGACCACAGTTCCCAAGCCACGCGGTGGGCCAGAGCGCAAAGAGTACCGCGTATTTTTAGCACCACCGCCACGCGTCGCGAACCAGAAGATTTCTCAACGCTGCAGCTGCTCGGCCGCGGCCAAGGGCTGCCATCCCTATTTGTGTGCAGCTCAGCACCCAGCTCTCGGCATGCGCATCGGTGCCTAGCGGGCTGCGGAGGTCGTCCGGCAGGAACGGCATGCTCGGCGCAGCCGGCCCATCGTCATCTGAAACGGTACAGGACTGGCCTGGCGCATGCAAGGACGCCACTTTACCGCGTCGGGCTGAGCACCCTAGGCGGCGCGCCCGTCATGAGGGTTTGACGTCGTCTCTGGTGCGCCAGAGTGGGCACGCGACGGAGAATTCCAGCTCTGGGTTTTTCTCACCTACCTAGCAACGCGCGCTGCTGCTACTGTGCCGCCGCGCAACAGCTGCGCAGCTCGGGCGGTCGGGCGGTGTTACGAGATAAGGGCAGCCTTATTGGCGGCCGTCATAGGGCTGACGGGGATCTTCACGGCAACCTTTCCGGCCCTGCGAGGATTTTGTGCGTCGCTGCTGTCAACGTGCAAACGCCTAGGAGGTGTAGGCGACCCGGTTCAAAAGCGTTTGCAGTGGGACTGCCCTGAGACGAACCACTGTCACCAATGGTAATAATCTATACTTTGCGTCTCGACCGGGTCGCTCTTATGGTGCATGCAAACGCATCCCAAGGCACGCGAACACGCAGCGCCCAGATCACACATAGCGCGTTGAGATCGCGTTTCACGTATCCAGGCGTGCCTGGAGCGAAAGGATGAGCAAGGGGAGGGATGGCCTCGCGAGTGATGCGGCCACGACTTTGTGCTGACAGGAGATCGGGCCGCGGAGCGGTAGTGCCAAGTGCGCCAGTCCGCGCGCCGCCCCGAAGTGACGCTGGAGTTGTCGGCCCTCTCCAATTTCTACAGAGATCAGGTACAGCTTCGGAATCACCAGCCAACTCCCACCCCACAACCCGTCGCACGTCGTGCAGCGAGCTGCGCGCTACGCTCGCTCCATATCGCGCTGTCCGACCGTTTCTCGTCCGAAGCCACGCCAATCGCGCAGTTTGCCCCCTCGCGCCTGCCGCAACGCGTCGCCGCACGGCACGCTTCCGTCGCCATGCCTGCCAGGAAGCGCGCCCGTCAGGAAGTCGAGCAGGAGGAACAACTGCCGAATCAGGAGCCCACCAAGCTCGAGAAGCTGCGCAACACCTGGGAGTTTGCAAGTCTTGTCCAATACATCTACACCTTTGGCAATGTCGTCAAGATCGACGAGGATATCGACGTCGATGTGAGCATTCCTCCGCGTCCATCAGCTGCCCGGACTCCGTACACCACAATGCTGAATAAGTCTGACCTGGCGCAGGAGCTCGAGGCAGAATGCCTAACGCCCACGCCGTCTGAAAAGCTCGCGCAAATCGGCCTAGCTCTGCTCAAATATGTATCGTCGCACAAGGGACTAACGTGAGAGCTCCTGCATCCGCGCTAAATGGTCGCCCGCTGACTCTGACCAGCTTGGAAATCTTCGACGAGTATGCGCGCCGCCAGTACGTTGCCAAGGCGCCTCAGCGCAACCCCTTCGGAGTCGACGAGGAGCCTAGGAAGTTCAACGACATGGACACCTTCACCAAAATTCGTATCCTCCAGCAGCTTTCCACCTGGACCCTCGGCAACGCCGATCGCATACGTGAGAAGATGCCGGAGCAGAAGGACACTGAACAGACAAACTGGGTAAGCAACATTGCCTACTGGCATCATTGCTCTCTGTTAACGATCCACAGCGCGTCGAAGCATTTGGATGGGACAAGGAAGATCGGACTTACTTTGTTCTCGATGACGATCGCCTATACCGCCGTACGGATCCGCCTTTGCCCGCTGCCCCGCCGACAAAGTCCAGGTCGAAATCGAAGGCCAAGCCTAAGAAAGCCAAGGGCACCCGAGCAAGCAAGCGAAGGAGACTGTCCACATCACCTTTAGAAAGTGATGTGGAGCAGGAGGAAGACAATGCGCAGGATACTTCTGCACAAGAGGAGGACACATTTGGCGGTATGAAGTGGGAGTGTATTGCCGTCACACTGGAAGACTACAACGGGTTTGTCGAATCGATCCGCAAGAGCAAAGACCCAAATGAGAAAGGACTCGTGAAGCGCTTGCAGGTCGAGGTCCTACCCATCATCGAGAAGAAGGCTGAGCAACAGCGGCAAAAGGCCCTAAGAAAGCAAAGGGAGCTGGAGAATCTCGAGAAACTGGCGAATGCAAAGCGGTCCAGCAGAATCGCAGGCCGCGTGGAGAAGCAAAAAGAACAAGAGGCTGCTGTTGAAGCCGAGCGCAAGCGTACATCCGACCTTGAGATGGCTAAGAAGGAGCAAGAGAAGCAGAAGCAGATGGAGGAGGTGCGTCCATCATCCGACAACCGGCTGGAACCGTTTACTGACATGCTCAAGGCACGAGAATCACGCATGATGACCCGCGAGCAGCGCTTGAAAGAACGTGAAGTGAGGCGCATACTTCACGAAGAAGAATTGAAAAAGCTGCGGGAGAATAGCGAGAAAGCAGAAACCAACGAAATGCGGATGTCCGAACGCCATCTAAAGGCCGAGATGGAAAGACGTCAGAGAGAACTGGAGCAGATGGCGCAGGAGGAGGAAAACTGGATCTTCGATTGCGCCGTCTGTGGGGTTCATGGCGAAAACCTAGTACGGTATCCGACACTTGTGTTGTTTGGTTCTGCAGCTGACTTCGCGATAGGATGATGGATCCCACAGCATCGCATGCGAGAGATGCAACGTCTGGCAACATAGTGCGTGCCATGGAATTGCTAAAGCGACAGCAGAAAGGGACGACTTCCACTTCGTCTGCTCGGATTGCAAGCGTAAAGCAGAAGAGGCTGCGAGACCCAAGCTACCACCCCTTAAGTTCAAGATTGGCGCTTCGCCTAAGCCGGACGCCTCTGCCTCAGAGTCGGCGGTTACACTTCCGCCAGACCATACTGAACCTCCCGGTGCCGTCCCTCTTTCCGGTCAGCCGTCGCAGCCAGCACGGCCCCCGCAAGCAGCCCCACTGCACCCACCGCCGGCAAATGGTATCCTGAATGGTCCAAGCCTATCGCCTCATGGCCAAACCTCCGGTCCATCTGGAATGATTCATGCAGGCTCCAGTTATGGGTCCGCGCACAGCACGCCCTCTCAAGCTCCACTGCCGCCAGTACCATCACTACACACCGTAAACGCACCGTCCATTCCGCCACCACGTTTCACAGCCGGTGGTCAAAGTGGACACCACGTTATGGCGGGTACTCCTAGCTGGCACCGCTCACCCCCATCTCAGAATCCACCTCATGGACAGAGCAACGGGCATCCTCTGAACGCATCGTCCATTTCATCTCCAAGTAAACCGCTGACGCATAACCCGTCACCGAATAGCCCTTCGTCGGGCTATGGGGCTCAATCACCATCGAAGCCGAGCCCAGCTGCGATTGAGAAACGTCCCATGTCTTCGGGATACGGCGCCCCATCACCATCAAAGTCCGCGTCCGCGTCCTCACCATACCAGGCCAACGGGCACCCTATGACAGCCCCCTTCTCTAGCCCTGGTGCCTCCTTCCTTCCAGCGCCAATTCAACGCCCAGCATTTTCACCGGTAAAACAAGCATCTTCCCCACCTCATCCGCATTCTTCCCCTTTCGTAGAGAACAATTCCCGCCTTCTGCCCCAATCGTCGGCTGGAATTTCGCCGGAGAAGCATGACGGTGCACCACCTACGGCCCAAGGGCTGTCCGAGGCCCCGAAGCTCCCACCTGTCGCTGCATTGGCGCCCAGTGCCAACCCGCCCATATTGACACCACCCAGCAAGAAGACGCCAGAGAGCTCTCAAGCTGAGCAAAGTGGGCAAACTGCTCCGTCGGCGGCTGTCGGCCAAGCAAGCTCAGGCCCACCGGCCGAGTCTTCAAACGGTCAATGAATGTGCTAGATATGAGAGTTTTGGATGATGTTGCTTCTGTACAATAGGCGCTATGGCCTGAAAGCCATTAGGATTATGAGAGCACGATTGAAGTGGTTGTTTGCGTGTTTCGACTCGCCATAATGGTGGCCTTGGTCGAGCAATCAATAAATTCATTTTTAGAAATCATCACCGGTTTCTCTATAGCGCGAACATGATCGTTTCAGGCTCGATGCGCCTGGGTAGTCTTATTAAAGGCGTGAGTGATACTGATTGTTTGATCAGAAGGGTGTGATTGGCATTCTAATACTGGAACCGGGGTAGGATAGCGTTAGGTCTACAACCCTAAATAAAATAATAAGAAGTTAAGCCATGTCCGTTTGGAGTGTTCTTAGACGGGAGGTACTGGGGCAATTATGTCGCGGAGATGTGAGAGGGTGGCTTTGGGAGATGGAAATAATACGACCGTTCGGCGGCGGAACTGCGCGCGCTGGCGGGGCAGCAGGCGGAGACGGGACCCGTGGGTCATCGCTTCCACCACCCCTGCAACCGCCGATCGCCGACGTCTTGGCGCGAGTTTTTTCGAGACACCCGCGTCGCGACTTCTGATCGCGCGCATTGCAGGGACTGGAGAGGCCCAGCTGCAAAATTCCATACCTCGCCATGGGAAAGAAGCGCACTGCTTCCGAGTCGCGCCACGGCGCCGAAAAGCCCTTCCAGAAGCACGACAAGGCCCACAATCGCTCCAAGGAAAACCGCCATGGTGCCCGCGATCCCAAGCCTGCGCCGGCCGGCAAAAAGAGCTCTCTGGTGAGAGTTGCTGTTTTCTGACGTCTTCGTCTCTACTGACTTGCATGCGCAGACGTTCGAGCCTCGTCCCGACTGGCATGCCGCTGAGCTTCCTCCCATCTCTATCCCCGACGACTTCAACCCTCCGCCGCGCTACGTTCTCGACGGTGTCCAACAATATGCCGTCTCCCTGCTCGAGTCCGAGAACAAAACATACGCCGACAGCAACATGTCGGCCGACTCGTCTCACAAGTTCTTGAACACCATCATGGCCTCGGGTACTCTGGAGGACAAGGTTTCGGCTTTGACCCTGCTGATTCAGGAATCACCGCTGCACACCATGAAGGCTTTTGAGAACCTGCTAGGACTGGGCAAAAAGAAGAGCAGGAACCAGGCACTCCTCGCGTTAGGTGCTCTCAAGGATCTGCTGGGCCAGGGCGTGGTACTGCCGCCTGATAGGAAATTGCGCTCCTTCATCAAGCAACCTGCCGTACTCGCTGCATTCTCCGGACCCAACGCAAATTGGGAGGAGGGCCAGCGCCTGCCCCCTGGTATCGAGAACGTCCACTTGATCTCCTGGGCATACGAAGATTGGTTGAAGCGCACCTACTTTGAGATGCTAAGGATTCTCGAGGGCTGGTGCAACGACGAAGTCGAGTACTCGAGGAGCCGTGCCATCACCTTCGTCTACGAGTTGCTGAAGGAGAAGCCTGAACAGGAGGAAAACTTGCTGAGGCTGCTGATCAACAAGCTGGGAGACAACGAGAAGAAAATCTCCTCTCGTGCCTCGTACCTCCTTCTTCAACTTCAGAATTCGCACCCGGTCATGAAGGGTATCATCATCAACGCCATCGAATCCGAATGCCTCTTCCGCCCCAACCAAAGCCCTCACGCCAAATACTACGCCATCATCACCCTGAATCAGACCATCTTGAGCGCAAAGGACCCAGATGTGGCGAGCAAGCTGCTGGAGATCTACTTCGCGCTGTTTTTGAGCTTATTGAAGCATGGACAGAAGTCGGAAGTGAAAGAGAACAAGCTTCAGGGAGGCGGCGGCCAGGCCGGCAAGAAGGCGAAACAGAAAGCTAAGGCGAAAGAGAAGGAGCAAGAAAAGGTTATAAATGCTGAGTCGGAGCTGAATGAAAAGCTCATTGCCGGTGTCTTGACTGGTGTAAACCGCGCCTTCCCCTACGCCAAAACCGACGATGTCGCTTTCGAAAAGCAGCTCGACACCATCTTCCGCGTCACCCACTCCTCAAATTTCAACACCGCCATTCAGGCCTTGTTGCTGATCCAGCAAATCTCAGCAGCGAAGCACTATTCGACCGACAGGTTCTACCGGACACTATACGAATCAGTGCTGGATCCCCGCCTCCTGCACTCTTCGAAACAAGTCATGTACCTGAACCTCCTGTACAGATCACTGAAGGCCGACGTCAGCATCAAGCGCGTCAAGGCTTTCGTCAAGCGTCTGCTGCAGGTCATCACCCTTCACGAGCCGCCCTTCGTCTGCGGTGTGCTCTACCTCATCTACGAGCTCACCAAGACCTTCCCCAGCATCAAAACCATGCTCGAGACGCCCGAACTCGACGACGAAGACGAAGAAGAGCACTTTGTCGACGCGCCCGAAGAAGGCGGCGCCGCCGACGACTCGACCACCACCGCATTCGCAACCAAACCCTCGCCCTCATCCACGGGCCCCCACTACGACGGCCGCAAGCGCGACCCCGACCACGCCCACGCCGACCTCAGCTGCCTCTGGGACCTCACCCCGCTGCGCCTGCACTTCCACCCCAGCGTCTCGCTCTTCGCGTCGCGCCTGCTCTACCACAGCAGCAGCAGCAGCGGCGCCGGCGACGACTACATGCCGCCCAAGCCGGACCCGACGCTGCACTCGCTCGCCCACTTCCTCGACCGCTTCGCGTACCGCAACGCGCGCCAGCAGAATCAGCAAAAGGGCGAGCACGGCGTCTCCATCATGCAGCCCATGGCGGGCAGCGCCGCAAAGGCGGCCGACCTGCTCGTGCGCGCGGGCGGCGACGCGGCCAGGGCGGAGGCCCCGCTCAACTCGGAGGCGTTTTGGCGCAAGCGCGTCGAGGACGTGCCGGCGGACGAGGTGTTTTTCCATCGGTACTTTGAGAAGAGCGGGGCGCGGTCGAAGAAGGGGAAGGGGGGGAAGAATAAGCAGGCGGTGGAGAAGGATGGCGATGGTAGTGATGGCGAGGATGCGGAGGAGCAGGAGATTTGGAAGGCGTTGGTGGGGAGTCGGCCGGATGTGGCGGGGCCGGAGGACGAGGACGATGAGGATTTGGAGGAGTTGGGGGAGTTGATGGGGATGGGGGAGAGTGATGATGAGGAGGAGGAGGAGGATGAGGATGAGGATGAGAGCGATGGTGATGGTGACGTCGTCATTGCAGATGGGCCAGATGAGGAAGAAGACGAAGACGACGAGGAGATGGTGGATGCGCAGGTGGTGGAGGAGCCGAGGACGAAGAAGGACGAGAAGAAACCCAAGGCCGCCGCCAAGGACGAGGCCGAGGACAATGAGGGCAGCGACGTCGGCGGCTTCGATTTCGACGATGGAGACGAGGGCGCGTTCGTTGGCAGCGACGAGGAGCTGGAGCTGCCGAGCGATTTCGACTGGGAGGATGAGGAGGACGAGGAGGAGGAAGTGCGGGAGGAGAAGCCGAAGAAGGGCAAGAAGGGCAAGAAGGGTAGCGAGAAGAAGGCTGCTGCTGCTGCTGCTGCTGCTGCCCCGGCGGCGGAAGAGGCCGGCGACGAAGGGGATAAGGATAAGAGAGGGAAGAAGCGGAGGAAGCTCAAGCACTTGCCGACTTTCGCGAGCGCGGAGGATTATGCGAAGTTGCTGGGTGATGATAGCGACGGGTATTAGAGAAAAGGGTGGCATAGAGCGCCGGGTTTATGATGCAAAAACAAAAGGGGAAATATGGGAACTAGTATGTGCGCTATGGAGGCGGCGTTTGCTTTTAGACATTTTTATTCATTTTTATTTTTTCTGTTCTGCTGAGATGGTGGAGGTGAACGGGAAGACAAAAAGGTGGCGCGCCGTTTGCTCTGTTCGGCCTTGATGATGGAAGGGAGGATTTATGGGTGGTTTGGTCGTTTGGGATACCTGAGCTCATGTAAAATAGAAGGGGGGGTCTTTGTCTCGTCTGATGCCGAGACTTTCAAGGCGCGCGTGTGGGGGAGAGTTTTCTTCCTCTTGCGAAGATGGAATTGACATATCCGCGTTGTGACTGTTCCTTCCCGACAAAATCAGAGAGAACAAGAGGGGACGGGGGAGAGAGATGAAGACGGAAGGGAGATGCGTAGCCATCCATCAAGACATGAAGAGAGATGTTGTTTTGCAGCGTTTGTGTGATGTTTCCAATTTAAATTGCAGAAGCAACGTCGATGTGTTTTTCAAGACGGTATATACATATGCATGCACAGATAAGCGTCAACTGGCAGGATGCAACCAATCTCTCTGCAGTGGAACATTTGTTTCATTTTTTTTTATTGCGCTGTGGTAAACAAAGGGTGGTGGTTGTTGGGCACCGGCGGGGCTCTTATCGGCACTCAGAAACGCGCGTGGTGGTGCATGGAGCTGTAGAGGCGAGACTAGTCATTCATCCACTCGCTGTTGTGGAACGCAGACAGAGAGCGTGTCCAGAGTCACGGTTGGGTGTGATAAGGACAGGATGCAGGATATGTATACCGCATTTGGACAGCGATTGGCTTGCGGTCTCGGGGGCGTCGGGGATGGGATGGAGCGGAGCGGGGGTGGCAGGCAGACTGTTTCGCCGCGAGCCGAGTCGTGGGAGGCGGGAAGAGATGGACTAGTTGGGGCGGTGGAGGTGGCTGTCGCTGGGCCGGGTTCGCAATGCCGTTTCGGGGAGAATATTGACGATATCGTCATTGCCGGCGGGCGGGCGTGGGGAAGGAAGCGGCGGCCGACCGACGGCATAAAAAGGCAGGCGGCGTCCACCTGTCGCTGCTGGATCGTCACCCAGCTACCCAGCTGTTTCCTCCTTCTGCTGCTCCTTCTCCGCCCGCCCGACCCAACAGCACCGGCAAAAAGCAGGCCGACGACGCGGAATATTGTGGCATCGGCGGGCTTTGCAGCGACCCGATCTCGCGCCGAGCGGCATTACCTACAGTGTGGGGCTCGACCGCCCTAAGACTCACCGCGGGGTGCCAATGACAACAGCAGCACCGCTTAATATCTCCGTTGCTCTTCGCTCGACTCCAAGGCTCAAGACGCCATTGCCCTCGTCCTCTCTCCGACGCTGCTTGCACCACTCGGCCGCCACCTCTCCCGCCACCCCCCGCCCTTCCCCATCACGGACTAGCCGCCCACGCGTTTCCGCCGCGTTCCTCCGCCCCAGATTCTTCCACTCAACTCCCGTCAGCCTCTCCAAGACGGCGTCGAAAATGGGCAAACCCAAGGCTCTTCTGCTGGGCGACATTGACCAGTGAGTGTGGCCCCAGCCCTCGGCCTTCACGCCAGCAGGGAGCGAGCGCCATGCATTCACCCGCATGAACCTGCAGCATCCTGCATCCGTCCATGTGTGGCTGCATAATAGCCGGTCCCTGCTCGTGCCGCTACATTTTTTCCCCGTCCTTGTATATACCCGGAATACTGACCGAACTCGCTCCTCAGCGCCAAGGCCACCTGGGAAGGTCTCTCAGATATCGCCGAGCTAGTGCGGCCAACTTCCAAGGACCGCGCCGAGTTCATTGAGGACTGCAAGGCCGGCAAGTACGATGGCGTAGTTGCCGCCTATAGGACCTTTGGCAGTGTTGCTGTTACCGGCCTGGTTGACGAGGAGCTGGTGAAAGCTCTGCCCGAGAGCTTGAAGTTCATTGCCCACAATGGTGAGTTTTGATCTATGCGTTTCGTCAGCTGCTTCTGTGGCGTTTTCGATTGGAACGGAGCTTTCGGCGTGTCTGCAATGTGTGTCGGCGCAAAACTGACAGCGAATCCAGGTGCCGGATACGATCAGGTCGATGTTCACGCATGCAAGGCTCGCGGTATCCAGGTCTCCAACGTGCCGTCGATCCCTGACGATGCAACTGCCGACGTGAACATGTTTCTGATCCTGGGTGCCCTGCGAGGCTTCAACACGTCGATGCTGGCGCTGCGCGATGGTAAGTGGCGTGGCAACCCCCTGCCACCGCTCGGCCACGACCCTGAGGGCAAGGTCCTGGGCATCCTGGGAATGGGTGGCATCGGCCGCAACCTCAAGAAGAAGGCCGAGGTGTTTGGCATGTCCGTCATCTACCACAACCGCCGTAAGCTCAGCGATGAGCAGTCTGGCGGCGCCGAGTACGTGAGCTTCGACGACCTGCTCGCAAGAAGCGACGTCCTCAGCTTGAACCTGCCTCTCAACGTAAGTCTGCATCTCCTACCACAACAACACTCAGCTTCGTCCTGTTGCCCCTTTCTCTCCTGGATCGTCCGGCTCCCTTTCGCTTTGTTTCGCCGCTCGCTCGCTTCTCTGCTGTTCTCGCTCGCTTGCCGTTTTCGGCTATCTCACTCAAACGCCCTCGTCCCGGAAGACCGAGACGCGACAAAGTTTGGAGAAAGATATCCGAGACTTCTCCCTTTCCCTCCAGGCCCTCCACCTTCCCCTGACGCTTCCCTGTTCTCCCGCGATTCCAGAATACCTGTCGTCACACATGATGCTGCTGTCACACCTTCCCGATGACCCCCGAAATGCGCAATCTACTGCACTTACTCACACAACATTACTCCCCAAACACATCTCAGCCCAGAGGTACACAGCCACAGGAGGAGATTGCGCTGTCTCTCGCCTCTCTCCTCCGGCTGAGGAGAGTGCCGTCACCACCCAAAATATACCCCCATCCCTTCCCTGTCCAAATATATACCTCCAAATCTTGCGGAACAGCCCGGCACGGGGCAGTGGGAGCGTTGATTAACATAATCCCACGTCGATATTATTAGAAAAACACACGCCACATCATCTCGGGGCCGCAATTCGCCAAGATGAAGAAGGGCGTCATCGTCGTCAACACGGCACGCGGCGCCGTCATGGACGAGGACGCGCTGGTGAAGGCCCTCGAGAGCGGACAGGTCGCGTCGGCCGGCTTGGACGTCTACGAGGAGGAGCCCAAAGTGCACCCGGGCCTCGTCGCGAACCCGCACGTCATGCTCGTGCCGCACATGGGCACGTGGACCGTCGAGGTATGTTAACCTTCTGATATACCCCAAGCTCCCTTTATCACCTCCCCTCTCGATCTGCATTCTGGAATATTGTTTTTGCTTTCTGGAAGGATGGGCGCGTGTTCCCACTCTTTTGTGGGGAGGGGGCCTTTTCTCTTTCACTGCCCCTGGGGACGAGCGCCCGTTGGAGCGAGCGGGCCGCGAGAGCTTCGTGACGAGGACTTGCCCAACGGTCGCGTATCGTCGTCTTTCGCGCGTAGCGAAAGGGGCGTCCGTCGCTCGTTTGTTCGCATCGTTGGGTGGTCTGCTCGCTCGCTCGTTCGCTCGCTCGGTTTTCTCGCCTCACCCCTTGGCGAGAAAGGAGTCGAGGGCGAGGACGGGGACACCGAGGCGGAGACACCGGAACCCCACCTTCTAAAAGAAAAGGGATCACCTACTCCCCGCGTGTTCGAATGTTCCTTTTGACGATCCTTGTTTCTCGGCCTATGCGGCACGGATTTGCGGACGATCTCATTACTCACTTCTCTCGCACACAGACCCAAACGAAGATGGAAGAATGGACGATCGGGAACGTGCGCGCCGCGATCGAGAAAGGCAGGGTGAACAGCATCGTTCCGGAGCAGCAAGACATGGCATAGAGAGAAAGAAAAGGAGAAAAATGAACCAAGCACGTTTGGGTGGTAGAAGAGGGGGAAAGATTCGAGATGGGGGTTTCGAGAACCCCTGTTCCACGATACTCTCGCCCGTTGCATGTTTCGGAGAGATGTGTAGTTGGGCAGAGGACGGCCGGAAGGTGCTCCTAGCTGAAGGGGGTAGGATCCTTTAGCTGGCGCGAGTGCCGGCAAATCGACCGTCGTTCTTTCTTTCGTCCTTTTCTAGAAACAGAAGAGAATTATTATAGAGCTAGAGGCATTATACCTATGACACAGAGCACCAGACGCATGTCACGACCCGAGACAAGATTCTGTTGATCTATTTTGCGGAGCCGCTCGCTCGCTCGCTCTTGGCCACTTTCGTTTTCGACGTCCGTCCGCATCTCCCCTGCTTGCCCCATGCCGCGTGGTCGATTAAATGCTGATGTGCCGTGCACGGCCGCCACCCCGTACCTACCGACCACTCATCCGCACACAACCGCTTGTCCACCATCACCAGTGTCGGGCGCGTATTTTTCGATGCCCTTTGCTCGACCTCGACCACGACGAGCACCGCGCTGCACCGTTGAACAGCACAGCCCGACCTGTCACCATTGGCCCCGATTACGCAATCAACGCTTTCTCCCCTCCCTTCCCCTCTCCTCTCCTCCCCGCCAAAACTCATCCGTGCTCATGCGGATTTACGAACGGAAAAGCGAACCACTTTTGCTCCATTCCTGCGCACGGGCACACGCACACACATATTCTCTCTCTCTCTCTTTATCTCTCTGTGCGTCTGTGTCTGTGTGTGTGTGTGCGTCTCTCTGTTCTACCGCACTTAGCGCGCGCGCGCGCGCCAAAAAGCATCATAAAACGCACGCCCGATCAAAACGGCCAAAACGGCCATTATTAACGGCCAACGTACGGACGTGCCCACATGTGGCGGTGCCCTCCCTCCCCCATCCCTCCCCGAACAATTTCTCGCATCCGTCCGGACGTGCTACGTACTCCTCGTCGTCGTTGCGGCGCAGTCAGTAACTGTGCGGCGCAGTGCGGCACAGTCAGTCGGGCAGCCATGACATGATCAGACGCCGGATATACAGGACCGCGAGACGTATCGTCATCTCCACATATAGACACATAGGTACACACACGCACATACACATGGGCGCCGGCATCGGCGCGTGACTGCCCGTCACACATCATGTGCACACCCTGTTCTTTCTCCCCACTATGGCCCATGTGCGTCACCCTCATCTCTCTCTGTGTCTGTCTGTCTGTCTGTCTGTCTCTGACTCGAGGGGGTTGGGGTGTTGGGGGTTGCGAGGGAGAGCCATCCATCCTAACGCTGAGATCGTTTCCCGAAAAAAAAAAAAAAGAAAAAGGAAGAATCAAACCCATGATGCCAAATGCCACCATGCCGAGTGAAGACGCTATCGAAATTCCACAGACATGTTGCATATTGCTAATGATGACAATAAAACATGGTATGATGATGATGACGATGATGACGTGCAGCAGCTGACCGCGTGGTTCCTTTCTCAAATCATTCGTGTAGACTAATCAGCCGTCAGCAGCAGCAGCAGCAAAAAAAAAAAACGAAAAAAAATAACAAGGGAAAGAAACTCGGGGCTGGGATGATTTGCCAGGTCATGCAGCGCGTAGGTCCCGCCCCGCCCTCGTCGTCGGCTATCGGCCGCACTTTTTGCCCAACGACGACGACGACGACGACGACGACAATGACGACGATCATGGCCAACACATATATTTCGTGCAGTTGGCGCAGTTAGCGCGCAGCAGCAGCAGCAGCGGCGGCGGCGGCGGCGGCGCCGCGATGACGATTAGCGGTGAAATTACATACATATGGACGGACGGGTACCTGGCTATCACTGCTGCGTGTACCCTGTACAGCGGGGTGTACGGGCGCTAATGAGAATGGGAAAGGGTGCGTGCGTGCGTGCGTGCGTGCGTGCGGGTGGGTGTGTGGGTGTGTGGGTGGGTAGGTGGGTGGGTAGAGGGAAGGGCATGAGAAAATAAAAATAAAAAGCAGGTAATGACGGGCATACGCGCGCGCTTGGGACAGGCGGGGGTGAGAGAGTGAGTGAGTGATAGAGGGGAGATTGCGAATGACCACGGGCGAAGAGTTGGCAGACTGCGGGAAAGCAGCGGGCAAGATGGCAAGGGCACGGCAGGGCGGCAGGGGGTGGGGAGGGGCAGTAGGAAAAAGGATGGCGAGGATGATGGCGGAGAAGAAGGAGATGCATGGCAGGGGGGCAAGGAAAACGGTCAGTATGTGTGCGGGTGTTGGTATGGCGTGTGGTGTGTGTGTGTGTGTGGGTGTTGCGTGGGCCCCGTCGCCCAATCATTCATCTTGCAATTATATCCTTCGCAATATCATGCCCATACATGGCAATAATGTATCTTAGCGCCCCTGCTACCCCGCTGCGTACTCTATCTCTTTCTCGCCCTTCAGTCATCCGCTCAGCACGTGGCTCTAATGAAATTTGGGGGAAGGGAGTGTGTAGTCCTGCATGATATGATGTGCAGTGTATATAGCTATATGTTAATGGAGGCAATGCGGCACGCGCGCGCGTGCGCGTGTGGAGAACATGGCTCCGCGCCGTGGCGAGAAAAAAGGATTTCGATACCGGCCCGCTTCCGCTGCTTAATTTGGCGAGAATGGGAAAGGGCAAGATCGAAACGGGGTGGACAGGCGCGAAAAGTGGTCTGGGTGTACGCCGGTTTTTTATTGGGTTGCCTGAAAGCAATCCAACAACAGATGGAAAAGACAGAACCTATGACTTCATCACACACTGGGAAAGACGTGGAGTTGCAGGAAAGAGGGGAGCCAAGGAAAGACGTTGCTCCATCTAAGCTGTGAAGGTTGAAATTGCGCCCGTGTTGGATGATCGCTGGGTGCGGAAAATGTTCACGATTTACATTGGCGCCCAGGCTTGCCATCACCTTCTACATGCCCGTCTACTTGGGGCCTGCGCCTACGCGTCCGCGTGCCTTGGTGCTTTCCTTCCCACGTTTCGCAGATTGCCGGAGTGGCAGTGCTCGCTCCAGAAGCTTCCAGATTCGACGTATCACGCAGATTACAAGGCTGTCGAACATCAATTCCCAACTTGACATGGTACTGGGGACTTGGGGAAGCGGCAAGTAAGAGAGGTGCCCGTGTGCCCCCATGGCCGGTGGCGCCGCGGCGCGTGCCGGCGCCGTTCGGTGGCCGAGCGCTCTCGTTTGCTGCGCGACATATTGCAATATATGGCTCTGTTCGGCCCAGACGAACTTTTGCCACACGACCGTTGCCGACTCGGAAGCTGCCGCTGGGAGTAAAATTAGAGAGGACCTGCCCATCCGGAACGTAGAAGACAGAAGAGAACGAAGGATGGAAGAAGGGGGACCAAGGAGGACCAACTTCAGAACATGACTGAGCCGTGTGTCGTATAATCGGCAGCATGCGTCCGATCTAACTCAGCAACCGGTCAGGGCGGCACTTGGCCCTCGGTGCGACCGAACGTTAGGCAACGAGAAGAGGCACTTGCTGGTGTGGCTCTGATTGGCGTCCTGCATGAATCTGGATGACGAGAAGGGGAGAAAATCATGTGCTCATCCAATTTCCTCTCCCTTCTGTTCTTCTCCATCCTGTCCTCCGTCACTCATGCTCTCGCTCGGTTGCTCGCTCGACTTCTTTGCCGTTTGATCTTCGATTGACGGGGTGCGCTCCGCGGTAAGAGGCGAAAATCAAAGGACCTTGAGCAAGAATGTAACAGAGAAACGGCCGTGTTTCGGGGAAATCAAGAGGGATGCCTTCGGCCTGAGGAAGAGGTTGGGTTGTGATTACCAGGACGTCCGCATTGGGCTCATCCAGCCGGTTTTCTTTTTTTTTTTTTGCCCTGGATGGAGCCCTGCTTTCAGCCGGCCCCGCGCCGCGCGCCAACGGGTGTCCGTTGGCTCGTTCCCCTCCATCGGGTTCGTCGGCGGTCGGCGCGGCAGAGGTCCAGACGCGTTACTTACAGCCGCTCATACCATCAATCGAGGGCGCTCGCTGTCCCGGCTGTTGGGCCGATAGCGGGGCTGTGTAAGAGCGGTTCAGAAAGTGGCATGCCATCTCGGGCTGTAAGCGCGTGAACTCGGCTCAGCCTGTGTACGAGCACTTTCTGGGAAGAATTGGTGGACTGCGGGTGGCCGGTCTGGCGGCAGCCGCTTTCCGATCCCACGGTAGGCTAGGGATCGTGTTGGAAGCCTGAGGAGCCAGGACAGGACTCAAGTCACGGCCAAAGGGCGCGTTCGTGGCTGAACGGCTCCGGGGCTGTGGTCGCTGACAACCGGCTTGACAAATCGATGGCCAACGGCACCACGATCTCTCGCGCTTCCTTGTGCACCAAAGCCACCAGCTGTATTAAGGATCAAGGATTATTGCCCGTTTGGGAATCGACTTAGCAGTGAAGTATTATACGGACCGACTGCCGGCCCTACCGCCGACCACAGCGATTCAAGCTTCGTATGATCTGCGGGCTGTCTCATTCGCGGCCCCCTTCCACCCGTGCTGAGCTACTGCATGTGCCGACGTCTGAGAGTCCCACTCGTGTCGCGTGGCAACCAGGACGCCTCCTCGAGAGGAGGCAAGAAAGAACAAACCGATAAATATAGACGACGAAATTTGACGTACGCGTACGAGATGGGACAAGCGGATTTGAATCAATAAAAACTAATGAGTATGATGCAAACGACATTTCGCTTGATGCCAAGGAATAGAGGTCCCGTGGGCGCGGGTGCGCCTGAACAGCCCCAGGTATCGATTCTCTCTCACGTGTCAGAGGTCGCTCGTTTTCGGCTTCGTATGCGGTCCGTGGGTGCGAGCGAGCCTGTGAGGTGGGCAGCAGAGGCCGCCAACGGTGTGGCCTCATGCTGTCCCCCCGGCCCTTGGAGCTCTTAGGTGCGCGGCCGCACCCTGCGCGTGGAATCCGTCAATCTCCTCGTCAATAGTTGCACAGCTCCGAGTGCAACAGCCCCTGCCCTAGTCAGCAAATCTTCACGCTCTTGGGCTTCTCCACACAGGCGGGTGCGCCGAGGCGACGGGCGTATCGCAGGGAGGTCTGTGACCCCCACGTAGAACCCATACAGGGTTCGTCGGGATTGGGTCGGTGGTTGGTGGAAAACGGGGCGGAGGCGTGCGAGCGCGTTCGTGCGCTGGAGTTGCTGCGCCATCCTCTATGAATGGCACGGCGGCTCGGTGCAGCCGGTGTGCTGGAACGGCTCTACAGGCCCACTTGGAGTTTTGGGACAAGTCATATACACAGCTCCCGGATGCGTGAGTGGTGGTGACGGAGGGATCGCCAGTCAAAGCGGCGGGGCGCGGTCTGTGGATGCTGTATCAGGTTCTCAACCTCACCCCTCACCCCTCCAGCTGCCCCTCCTTGGGAGGCACGGGCAGCCAGAAAGTCATTGAGCACCAAGCCAGAACTCCCGCGGAGAGTCCGGCCGGTCGGAGCTGACGTCTGCCACCGGCGTGCGGCTGCGCACGGCTGCCACGGCGTGCCAATCCCGCCGCTACGCGCCCGCGAGCACGGCGGCCGTGGGAAGCATGGGCGGATGGCCGGCGCGGTGGCGGAGAGGCTGGCGGCGCCATTGGGCTGGCAGGAGGGCAACGGCGTAGCACGGCTCGATCCCCACGGGCTGGATTCGCAAGCATTTGGCCAGATGCGGGTGACTGAGCATTAGGGAGAGGGTACTGTCAGCGTATTGGGCAGGGGTGGAGCCAGCCACTTAGCCGACAGCAAGATCTCGGCTGGCGCAGGCAGTCAACGCTCGCTAGAAGCTGGTGCTCTCCTTCTCGAAGGCCGGACTGCCAGGTCTGCCCCTGAAGCGGTGATCGAGATCGCCCGGCTGGTCCTTGTAATATTCCCGCCGCGGACTTGACCGGTTTGCCCGGGCGGCGGGTGGTGGGCGGCGCGGCGCTTGGGGTCCGTTCCTGGAAGCTGGCGAGAGAGATTCAAGCTGATAGCAGACTCCACTACGTGCGTATGTGCGCCTCTGCTGAAACTGGGTGGCGGGGCAGCGGCCCTGCATGGCAGTGATGGCCCAGAGTCAGCGCACACCGGTGTGGAGTGGACGAGTACAGCGTGCGGATAATAGCAGCCGTGTGCTAAGGGAGGAGGTCCCGGGCCCGCCTGGTGGATTGGACCGGTGCGCGGGCGTGCGCACGCCGTTGGCATGGCCTAGCGGGAGGCGTCCTGGACGGCAGATGTGTCAAGAGAAACAGGAGAGCCCGCCTGGAGAACCACGAGGCGGTTCCTTGCGGATTGCCGTGGGCGCCGATGCTGGCCGCGTTCCCCGAACGTGCGCGCGGGCGATCTATACAACCATGGATGTTGCAGCCAACGACTAACGTCCGTAAGCTTCACTACACCGGATGAGGTATTTACGACGCCGCAGGGACCACGCCATGCTGGACGCAGCCGCCCGGCTCCAACGCGCACAGCACAGCACGCAACGGGCGAGGCCATTCCTGCAGGCAGCGCGGCGGAGTCCCGGAGCCCCAGAGCTGGCCGGCTCGGAGAAGCGCGAGGTCGGGCGGAGGGACGTCGCGGTGGGTCGCGGGCGCAGGCGAGTTCTGTCTTCCAGAAGACACCCATGGTCAGATCGTCGCTCGCAGCTGTATAGTACACGGCAGTGCGGCCGGGCGTCGCTTCCTGAAGCAAGCGTCCCGCGGAGAATTGTGGACAGCGGCCGGTGAGCCTCCGCCTCCAGTGCGGCGGGACGGGCGCTGGGCCGGGGGCGACGGCAGGCGGCGGGTCGAGGGGCGCAGGCGCGCAGGCGCAGGCGCAGGACTGCAATCGTCTGATGTGCCGCCCAGCGCCGCTGCTCCTGGATCGCCGGGTTGCGCAGTGACGTGACGGCCTGTTGATGCGCTCGAGGATGGGCGTGAGGGCGTGAGGATTGGCGCCGCCGTCGGGCGGGCGGGCTGGGGCGTTGGGCGGGCGGCTCGCGGCCGACTGGCTGGCGGGCTCAAGCTTTGCATTCTCGAAGCCGCGTCCCGGGCGCGGTGCGTGAGCGGTGCGCGGTTCCTGATGCCCTCGAGCGCTGGACCCTGGTCGCAACTGCCCCAAAAGCGCATAGCGCGTCGCGCACTTGGCGGCGCTCTGAAAAGCCGTGAGGCACACGCTCGTCGCTGCTGTGAATATTTTCTCCAGCCCCCAGCACGCACGCGCGCTCTGCACTCTGCCTGCCGGCGCCCCGTCACGCGTTCTCGTTGCCAGGCCTGCGTGCAAGCGCCGCAGCGGATCACCCAAGCGTGCAAGCCCACCCCAGCGCTGAATCTCGCTTCTCGCTTCCATCCGCTCGCTTGGAGGGAGCTTCTACCGCCTCAGTAAGTGCGCGCCCTCCAGCTGCCCGTCATCGCCCCTGCCCTCCCGGCGGCCTGAGCCTCTCTGCAGAGGCCTTCCTCCTGCATCACCATGCATCCGCCCGCAGCGGCGTGTGCCCGCCCGGCTGCCTCAGCGCAGCTCTGCACTGCCGTGCCCGTCGCCCACCACGGCCGCCGGCGATGCGCACCACCCACGCCGTTGCTCAGCGCACAGCCACCGCTGCCGCCCTCCCGCCTGGCAGCTTCCGGCCTAGGGCCGGCTTGCTCGCTCGAGAGCCGCTGCTGCGAGCTGTCTGCCGCGCCTGGCCCCGTCCGTTGCCTGCCGCCCTTTGCCCTTTGCCCCGTCCGCTGCCTGCGCTTCGCGCGCCGTTCCGAGGGATGCGGACGTTGCTGATCTGGGTAGCACCCACTTTTTTTTTGGACAGAGAGCACCAGCACCCCCTGGCGCGCACGCGCAGTAGCTCGAGAGCGCTCACGTTGCGCCGATCTGAGCTGTGCCCCGAACCCGACTCAGCTCCCTGGAAGAGGCCCGTGTGATCTGCGGCCGGCCTGCCTTCTTTTCGCACTTGCGTCTTTCCGCTATCCGCTCCGGCAGCATCAAACCACCCGGACGCCTCGTCTCGCCGTACTCTGCCTAAGCGAAGCAACCTTCCTGGTGCCAATCAGCCCGTCGTGCGCGGGATCCGTTCCCCAAGGGACAGCGCAGCATCGGCCACCTAGGAGGCTAATCTCGAATCTCACAGCCTTGCGCCATCGACGTGTGCTGGGTCTCTAATCAAATATGGCAGACCAGTCGCCTAACCCGCCGTCGCGGCAACCGCAGCAACAGCAGCCGGCTCAACAGCAGCCGCAACCGCAGCAGAATTCTCAGCCTCAGCAGCAGGTGCAACAGACACCCACCTCCTACCCTTCCCCTCACTCCTACCCGTCGCCGTCCATGCAGCCCTCCTACACCTACCCGCCGCCCCAGGGCGCCCCAGGCAGCGCGGAGCCCTATCGCGCCTCACCCACCGCGTCGAGCATGTCGTTGCCGTCGCTGAACCTCCCGCCCATCCGCGCGCCCATTGATGGCCAGCAGCAGCAGCCGGGCCAGCCGCCAGCGGGGTCGCTGCCGCCGCCCGTCGCTCCCATGGCCTACTACCCGCCGCCGGGCCACGCGCCGCCGCAGCACCACCAGATGCACATGGGCGCGCCCATGGGAATGCCTCCGCAGAGCATGGGCATGCGATACCAGTTGCCGCCGCAAGCCGACCAGAGAATCATGTCGGGAGGACGCCACAAGAAGGAGATCAAGCGCCGCACGAAGACGGGCTGCCTGACGTGTCGCAAGCGCAGGATAAAGGTGAGGACAGCAATTGCAAATTTTCTTCTCGCGATAGCGCGTCGGTCGGGATGAGGTGAGGTTGAAACGGCGAGGTAGCGCGATCGCGTCTTCGCGTCTCGCTCGCTTCTGTAGCCTGCCACCTCCCGCCGCATGGGTGGAAGCGAGAACTTTACTGTCGTCCGACCTCACTCGCCTGCCGACGCGGCTTTCGCGAGAGCCTCGCTCCCCAACAACGCCACAAGCGCAAGTCACTCATACGTTCGCAGTGCGACGAAGCACACCCCACGTGCAGGAACTGCCAGAAGAGCAAACGCGAGTGTCTGGGCTACGATCCGATCTTCAAGCAGCAGCCCGGCCCGCCTCAGATACAGCCCGCGCCCAGCGCAGCCCCGCCGGTCACGTCGACGCCCGCAACCGCTGCCCCTCAGCCCGCCCAGGTCCCATACTCTCACGTCCCCCAAGGCTACGCGCCTGCCGCGCCCAACTACGCGCCTGGCCCCGGTCACAGCACGAGCCCGCCGGCGCCTGCCACCGACCCATCGTTCGAGCTCAGTGCTGCCATCGACCCGGCGCTTGCAGGCACCGAGCCCGCACCAATGTCAATCGCGCCAGTCGCCTACGACCCGTCGACGCGTGTGTATGTGAGGAAGGAGGGCAATGGAGGCTCGACGCCCCCACCGCCGGAAGGTCGGCCGTTGAAGGGTGAGAGGCAACACTTGTTTGTATGCGCCGTTCGGACAGTTGCATACTAATGGCATACCAGCTAAGCGCATTTACGTCGACGAGCTCTTTGCGTTGCAAGGAGTGCAGCCGCACGCCCAGCCGCCGACTCCTGGGCCCATTCCGCCCAACGTTGTCGAAGAGATCAAGATGCTCTTCACCAGAGACTACGCAATCAGCATGGATCGCTGCATTGAGACGACCTGGTACACGACCAAGGGTCTGAATCGTCTGTTGAACGACCCGGCCACGATGGATCTCTTCGCCTTCTTCGTGTCCCAGATTCGTGTCACCCAAGACTACGAAATGCAGCGGAGAACCACGAGCCTTGAAGCGAAGCTCATCTGGAAGCTTCTTTGCCTACCTCGTCAACCCACTGGATTCATCTCGAATGGCGCCAACGGCACCAGTGAGCACGAGACCAATCTCTTGCAAAAGGAGGCTGCCCTGCGTGTTGAGGTGCTCGAAGCGCTGCTCTCGTATCAGGTACTGCCGTTCAATCCTCTTGCGGAGCTCATCTACGACCCTCAGGTTCCGCACTTGAAGCAGTATGAGGTCGATTTCTGGCGTCACCTGGGCACCTTTGTCACTTTCCGCGACGTGGACGAGGAGTCTAACCGCAACATTGATGCTACGTTGAGCGCGTGCCGCAACATCCTTGGCATGATCGAATGCAGAGATGTCATCTACTCGATGATGATCGCGCGCCACTACAGCGGACGGTTCCAGGATCTTCCTGACAACGTCAGCCAGCAGCCCTACCCGCCGGATCAGGAGGACGACCGGTCGAAGATGGTGGTGGCTAAGAAGTTCCTTGAGGACGAGTCTCAGGGCCGGGGCATGTCTCAGGTGATCTTCCGTCTCGCAGGCATGGCCATTCGGTCTTGGTCCTTGGGCCAGTAATCTTCGTTCCAACTTCGTTTCGACTTCGTAACAAGAAGGCGGACGGTCTCGTAGCAAGGACTTTTATGGTTTTTTCATCCTTTGTCAGGGTTGGATTACTGAAGTTTTCGGCATTCTGCTTTGTCAGAAGAAAATCATCGGCATGGGGTTGAAGGAGTCTGTTGCTTGGCAGGTTTCGTATTCGCGGAGCACTCAAGGTCTGTGGTCATTTCGATGGAGTTTGTTTGTTTTCGGCAAGAAACTGGCGAATACCGGGCGGTTACTATTTTGAGTAAAAAGAGCGGTCATTTCATCATTTCCTTCGGTTGCATCCCACAAAAACTTGTCCAGTTTTCTTACACTTTCTTTCTCATTTCGTATTTCCCTCGTCCTTTCCGTTTCTTTTCACACCCGGTGCAAGTACAGGCAAAGTGGAGAAGGAGTAGCAGCGAAGTGAGCGGTTGCAGAGAGCTGGATAGCTGTATTAGTAGTTGCAATTCGCAGCGTTCGCAGCCAGCAGCAAGATAGAGCTAGGAGCTAATTATCGAGAACAATCATCAAATGTGCACTTTTGCGTGATGTCCCACTCGTAGATGAAAAACAGCCCACTTGCGAGGACATGAATAATAGTATCACTTGTCCGTGTCTCCGCTAAGAGCTGTCTGCGCCGAAGTCAACCATGACGCTATGTTATTGGGGAGCCCTCAGGCTCCTAGTATTTTGTCTAGGTGGATAGTGAGTACTTTGTGTAGATGCACATGTCGACTCACAAGGTCGTTTTCTTCCGCCCGGATGGGTGCTTCAACTACATGTGGATTGCGACGCCCATGACGGGTGCGCAGCAGTAAGGTCGGGCCCGATTCACACATGGCTCGCCACTGGTATAAATGCGTCGGTCTGCATGGACTTGAATTTTTGGCCTGAGGTGTGCATAGTCTTTCTCCATGACAAGCATGTTGCTTGTTAGGCCTTGGACAAGTGGGTCATATCTCGAAGAGGCAGTTTATCAGTGTGTTTGAGGCGGCAGGACATTCTCATTATGGTTAGACGATGTGCTCTCACGTGGTGCTCATTGATCAGCGCTGGTTGGCGTGATGCAAAGGCGACTGACGCTGAGAGGTGTGCGGGCGTGCATGCGCCTTGCAGGACGCCAACCACTTGTGGTCGGAAGGCTTGGAGTCTTCATGCACAAACTGTCGAATGCACACACACTGGAAGCCGGCGAATTTTACGGCTGCACGCACAGGCTCTGCATTGGCCGAAATTACTAGGGCTGCGGATGTACGAGCAACTGCCTCCAGCGGTAACGAATTTCCGGCGGGTCGAACAGTCCAGGCACAGCCAGGGTCAGCCACAAACGGCAACGAAACGGAACACAGGCTAACCCAGGCTGCGCGGATGGAGTGGCAGGCGCTCGCTTAGTGGAGCACGTCTACACGCCTCTTCCCTGGCGAAACGGAAGGGGCGTGGGGGCTTGGAGCCGCGGTTCGATACTTTGCTTGGCGTGCCAAGTGCTGACGTACTGCGTAGGGCTGAGGCCCGGCCCGCCCATTGGTTTGTCGATCGTCACCTCTGCCTGTCTGAGACACGACCGCGACCCGCACTTCAACTCCCCACCTTACCGCTGCCCGAGCCCAACCTTTTGTACTCCAGGCCCTCGACCACCCTGTAGCCATCCCGACCGCCCAGCACGCCCCCACGCACACCGCGCTCCGACCATACGCTTCCCGAACAATGAGCGGCTCCAGCGCAAACGTTCCCGACGCCTGGGACGACAATTGGGAGACCGTCGCCGACGTGCGCACCTTCTCGCTCTCGAAAATTCGGGCGCTGACATCCACTGCAGAAGCCAGACACCGCCCCGCCCGGGCCGCAACCTCCGAAGAAGTTGACCAAGGCAGAGCGGAGGGCACAGCATGCCGAGTTCAACAGGCAGTTGTGGGAGGCTGCGTACGACCATGCACACCCTCATCACGCCACGCAGAGCTAATGCGACTGCGCAGAGAAACCCCAAAGGAAGCACCGCTCTTTTTGCAAGCGAGGCCCGATGCACCCCTCAAGAACGACGTCAAGGCGCCTGTCAAGGTCCTCAGCCGAAAGCCCCCGCCAAAGATCCTGTCGCGAGGCGAAGACGACGAAGACAGCGAGGAGGAAGAGGCGCGCAAGAAAGCGGAGCGAGAATTCGCAGAACGCCAAGCGAGGGCGCAACAGGAGCGTGAAGAAAAACAACGCAGGTACGCCGAGGTGCGGGAAAGGCTGTTCGGTTCCTCCACGTCCGACGGCTCGCAAGAACGGTCCGCGTCACCTCGTGGCAATGGCGGCAAGCAGTTTAGAGGCAAGGGCAGGGGTAGTAAAGGCGCTGATCGAGGAGACTCGGATGCCAATTCCTCGGCGGACCAGTCTCCGGCGCGTGGCCAAGCGACTCCCAAGCGACACCTATATGACCCAGGCTACTCGGCTAAGCCGAATTCATCGTACGTGCAGAGGCAGCAGGACGGATCGTCACGATCTCGCTCCGGTACGCCAGGGGTGGATCAGCCCATTCGCGCTCCTCGTGGTCCCGACGGCGGTGGCAGAGCAGGCTTCGGCTTTGCTCCGAGAGGCGGGCGCGGATCCTCTTCATGAATGCTAAATGGTCAAATGACCAACGCCCTGGAGGCGGACACCTCCCCGCACAGGACTGACGTGCGGATGCAAGACGCCCGCTGCCGAATTCCTCCAAACAACACTCGCATTGAGACTGGAACGGAGCATCCAATTCCAAAGGAGGAATTCGCCCAAAGTACAGGCCCGGTAGGAGCCCATCGAGTCTTCTTGCCCAGCGCTTGCAGCATCTTCGCAAGCGTCAGCGCCGTCATGGCAAAGCTCGCTGAGATGATTTCAACATGGGCTCTGCGTCTCGGTACCGCGGACGCGCCAGAGCCTATTCAACTGCGCGCGGCAAGGAGTCGCGCTGAGGTGGGACAACGGCTGTCCCGCGTTCCGCACACGCGTCTGCATTCCGCTTGGAAACGGTAGAAAGTATACATGCACGGTACGCCAAGCCATAACAGGAAAGCCCGCGGTCCCAATATGATACCGATATGCCGTTACCGGCGTGGAAGATTGTAGCAAAGCTGAGGTCATGGGAGAGAAAGGTCGAATCCATATTGAATGCTCCCATATTCTGTCAAGATCGCCGGGTTTCGTCACACTCGTCCAATTTACTCCATCAAAGCTCATCCATTTGTGCTATCTTGTCGCTCTTTCTAGTGGTCCTTCCGGAATGTCTCAAGAGTTGCGAACAGCCTTCTCCTTACTTTTCGAATGCTTGGAATGCCCTATCTTCATGCTGCTGGCTGTATCGCAGGGTGCTCTTAATGCCAGCTGCTCGTCTCCGCCAGAAGATCAGACAGCGGTGCATCCTCACCTTCGCATTTACAGCTTTCCTTGGCAGGAGTTGAGAGGCAATCCCTTCTTGATCAACCACCATCATGATGGATACCAAGGTGATCCTCTATCTGGCGGCCTTCAGCCTCGTTGCGCCTGGGGCATACGCAGCTCCCGCACCGCCAAATGGAATCCCGCAGCCCAATCAGCCAGGTATACTCCAGCCAGGTCCTCTTGCATCACTCCTTTCCGCGTTGGTGCCATCCAATGTTCTTCCATCGACCGTTCCTTTGCCCAACTCCATTGTCTCCACTGCCACCTCGATAGCTGTATCGGCATCATTAGCTTCTTCAAGAGCTCCTTCCAACGTGCCGGCACTGCCTGCGTCGCTTGCGTCAGGTCCTCAAGCACCCGCATCTAGCACTTACTCTCTCCACATCTCCCACGGCCGCCCACTCACTCTACTCATCTACCCCTCATCCCAACGACTCCCGCTAACCCCTCCCCAGAGCGCCGCGACCCTCAGCTGCCCAAGCTGCCGGCGGTCCTGCCCCAGCTCGCACCCCTAGCTGCCGCCACGGCATTGCCCACGACCGTCGCGGTCCCGGCCGTCGTCCCCACGGCCGTCAATGTCGCCGTCAACCCGCTCAACAGCGTGCTCGCCGGCCTCAGCACCGTGCTGAAGAGCGACCTACCCGCCGCCGCGGCGACGGCTGTCGCGCTACCCAAAGAGCTGGTCCAACCCGTCACCGGCGCCCTCTTGCAAGATCCCATCAAGGCGGTGCAGCTGGCAGTCACGTCCCTCCTGAACGCCCTGTTGGGCGGCCAGACGAGCTTGTATGGTGGCAGCCTCGTCACGCCGCTGAACGGTGCCGCGTCCGGGGTGACGGACAAGTTGGCCCAGACGCTTGGGTCGCTGTTCAGTGGTACTGGTCAGGGGACTGCTGCTGATGTTGCTGGGGACGATGGGGCGTTGAAGAAGAGGCAGGATGATGGAGATGAAGGCAGCGGCTCTGATACTGGCTCTGATACTGATACCTCATGGGAATGGTGGCCCAACGAGACGCAGCTCCTCGAGGAATCTGACATCGAGGGGTTCAGCAGCGAAGACGTTGGTACTGACGGCGAGGACTTTGGCACCGATAACGAAGACACCGATGACAACAGCGCTCCCATCGTCATCGAATCGGACGACGACAGCATGGAGAAGCGCCAGGTCGTGCCCGAACCCCAGATCCTTGTCCCGAGTGCGGCCGCTGTTCCTTCTGGCGTCAGCGATTCCGTTGCTGCCTTTGGGTCCTTCGCGCCCCTCGCTGACGCGACCCCTCTTTCGGCTGTGCCATCATCTCTGGCTGCTCTGGCTCCTGATGGCACACCTGCGACTGCCATCGTACCCGCCGTTCTCGTCAGCGCTCTTGCGGACCCAGACAACAACAGCCTCGCACCGATCGGCACAGTCGATCCTCTTGCGCCTTTGCCGACCGAGCTTGTTCCTGAGAGCGTTATTGCCGCCATTGCCGCCGCTGCTTCCGAGTTGCCCACTCCGATTGTAAGCATTCCAAGAAAGATGCGCGACACCAGGGTGCTGATATTCGTAGAAACGGACGATCCAAGAAATCGCCAAATCTAATGGTCTTCAGGTTCGGGATGTAGCGGAGCTGAAGCAAGGTCTCGACACTGCAGATGACCCGGCTGCTTATGTCGCGCAATTCATCGCTGCTCAACTCAAGCCCGTTCTGAACGAGATCGGCAACCAGATGCAGGCGGCTCCCTCCGTTCTGGCCAACATCGCTGCTGCTCAGGCATCGAACGCCGCGGCACCTGCGTCCATTGTTGCCGCCCAGCTTTCTGCCGCGCAGCCCATCATTGACTCGATCCCGTCGATCGTTCAGTCGCAGCTTGAGGCTGTGCCTACTGCCGCTCTTCCCGTCTTCTCGGCGGCTTCGAGCATCCTCGACAACCTCGAGAATGCCAGCGCCGGCGCGGTCAACCCCATCGCAGCTCTGATCCCTGACCCCACTGCTATTGCCAGCATGATTGCCGATGCTCTCCCTGTGGTCACGGCAACCTTCGAGGCCGCAACCTCGGAAGCCACACCGACTGATAGCGCTGCCGTTGTCGCAGTCAGTGGCGCTGTTGTCGTCTCTAGCGTCGCATCCGTCGGCCAGGACCTCGGTGTCACGCCCGTGGGACCACAGGTTGCGGTCGCCTCCGCCACAGCTGTTCCAACAGTCTACCCTACCGTAGGTTCACCCATCAGCCTGCAGCCATCTAGTGTTGTTCAATCACTTTTGCCCCTTATCCAGGTGTTCCCGTCCCGCCTTCGGGTGCCTTCAACTTTGATTACGCAACCTTCGTCTCTTGCTCAGCCATATACGATCCAAGTTCAAGTGTTTAGGCCTTCAAGCCGGCAGCACTCTCCTCTTTTGCAGCTTTCGTCCCAATCAGTCACGTCTTCCAGTCAGCAGCGCATCCCTTCCGTGCAGCCGTACCCATCATCAGCAGTGCAAAGCCAGGACACTAACAGCGCGACAGGCCTGGTAAACGGCGGGGTCATCATGGCAGAAATAGCGACGGCAGTGACAACAACAAGAACAACGCCATCATCGACACTGCAAGTGGTTCCGGAGTTTTCTTCTTCCACCCTTCCAGTCAGGGAAGAAGACGATGATAACAACGAGGTCCCCAACAACAGCATCGCCGATCTCCTGACCCAACCTCTCTCTGCCGACGGCATCGCCCAGCTGCTCGAAAACCAGATGTACCTCCAGCTCGCCCCCTTGTTGCTGATGCTGCAATCGCTCGCCCCGCTATCGTCATCATCATCATCGAACGTCAACCCGCTATCCTCGTCTCTCCTTCACGACTTGCTCGGCCCATCGTCACCGTCCTCTTCCTCGTCGTCATCGAACCCCGCCAGCCGCATCCTGGACCTCCTCCTCCCCGCAACTTCCGATCCTTCCGACCCCCCCTCAACGTCAACGCCAACGCCAAGCACACCTTCTTCCTTCTCGTCCTCCTCTTCCCCCGACGCCGTCGCCGTCGACGACCCCATCGCCAGCGCCTGGCTCGCCGGCGCGAAGCTCTTGCAGTCCAACTCGCTCGTCAACACGCGGCTGATGTCTCCTCCCAGCGCTGCTGACGATGACAACAACAACAACGAAAACGAAAACGAAAACGACAAGCCTGCAGCAGGAGCCGTCGGCAGCAGCAACAGCATTAACGGAGGAAGCGGCGGCGGCGCCCCCGCCATCGTCGCCAACCTGCTCAACACTCTCCTTTCGTCGTCGTCTTCTACCGCAGATCTGACGCGCAGCCTGAGCAGGAAGGTGGCGGCGTTGGCGAAGTGGTCGGCGGACACGCAGACGGAGGCGGCGAGGGTGGGGGTCGATGCGTGGGAGGAGTTGGTTGGGGTGTTGGTTTCTTAGGTTTTTTTTCTTTTTCTCTTTGCTTTTTCTTCTTTCTTTCTTTCTTTCTTTCTTTCTTTGGCCTTTTAATTTGGTCTTGGTTTGGTTTGGTTTGGGTTGGAATAACAAAACGGTTGTGTGGTTGTTTTGCGGGGTTTCTTTTCCTATGTGTGGGTCAAGTAGGGAGGGGAGAAATATATCAATGGATGTGATTTTTTTTCCCTTGTGAACCGTTATGCGGCTGCGGTAGTGTTGCTCGTGGCAAAGTCCGTGATGGTTCATGGTGACTGTTTCCTCGCTCAATTGTTGTCTCCCCCTGGCGCCGAGCAATGAGACGGCAATGTGGATTTGGGACAGCATTCTCAGGTTGTTACTTTCTTTTGTCCAATATTTACATAGCCTAATATTGTCCCCGCGCCATCTCCCAGACCCTTGCCGACTCGCAGTTTGCAAAACAGAGATTTGTTGTTCTGACCTTCAAGGCCAGCGACAAAGAAAAAGCAAAAGATTCGACGCCGGCAAGATTCGAACTTGCGCTCCCGAAGGAAATAGATTTCTAGTCTATCGCGTTAACCGCTCCGCCACAGCGCCAATTGTGCCGAAAGTGTCCGGATTCATGAGAAGTCGGCTGCTTGTTGGGTTCAAGTTGCTCAACAACCTGCCTGTGTGCTCGTCCCTAGTTGTTCGGACTCTGAGTGATGTGGCAAGAATTCGACTCAAGAACGTTGAGCCCGTAGGTGGTCCGGGCTCGGGAGATGTTCCGACTGGTCGACTACATCCGTTCGGGGAAAAGGTGCTGGCTAGTTTTTCGGCGTCGCCGAGTCGTCGACGCCGCGGAGTGTAGACGACGTTGATCTTTCACGCACCGTGCGGTCTATAGAGGTTGTGCCTTGTTCAGTGATATGACGATTGCAATATGTAGATACGCTTTTGAATCTGGGGTTCATCGACAGTTGTACAAGAGCCGCATCCGGTTTAATCGTCTAGCCTTGCTACAAGCAGTAGAGATGTTCTGTTTGTCAATCGGAGCCAGGATGAACGCATATCAAGCATGAATCGGCGCTTCTCTGCAGCGGACGGTTATCGTTTATTCCGTGCTCTGGATATTCATTGCTCTGTGGCCCAGGACAAGCTTGCTAGCTCATAGTAAAAGATGACTTGTTCTTCGTGGCACTTCCACGTGTATCATGGAGCACAAGCTACCGTCCGCACCTGACAGAAAGGGATTGAGGCCCGCCAGATGTCCCAAAGTCCCCTCCAGCCCTTCTTCAGGCGTCCACCAGGCCGAGATATGTCCACAAGAGGGTTGTGGACCCATAAACGTTCTCATGGATCTTGCGGTTGAATGCTTGGATTCGAACCAAACTGCTGGTAATATTGGATCAAGTAGAGCGCATTGGCCCTCGGAAGGACGGTGCTGCGGGCCGGTTGTCATGCACTCCTCAGGTGACCTCATAGCAATATATCAGCCCCCCCAGGCAGCTTCCAATGCCAGGCCTATTCAGACGGTGGAGACTCGCCCTCGTCTCGGCGGAACCACGTCCTCGTCGACTTTGCGACTTGTTGGGGGTGGGAGGGGACGGGACCGACCGGACCCCCGCCTGCAGGAGTCGGGGATGGTTGACAATTAGCGGGGCATGGTGGAGCAGAAAGCTAGATCCCCAGGAATGAAGCCGTTCGGCGCAATGCAAAGCGCTAGTCGCATGTGAAGGGACCAGAAGGGGGATTCACTCCAGGTCCCACGCGTGCAGGGGTGTGGCGGAGCATCTTCACGAGTCGTATCGCGGGCATTGAATGCTGTGGGCGCCTGCGCAGGGAGCACCGATCCACTTTTAGAGCATCCCGCCAAGGTTCGCTCAGGGCGTCCAAAGCGGAAGGATCCCGACGAGGGGTCGGGTGCCCGGTTGCCTGGGTTGGCAAGAGCAGGAGGAGCTGACGACGGCTTCAGGCTTTGGCTTCCTGTTTATTGACGCCGATCGATTCGTAGCAATGCCCGCGACGTTCCGCATATAGGAGTCGGCAAGGTTGTCGCCATCCAGGGCCAGCTGAATGGTGCTGGAGTTTGTCCGGCGGCCGATGTCCAACATACCATTGCTGCCCGTTTTGACTCGGGCTGCAGCTGTCTACAGGAGCAGCTAGGCCAGGCGTGAGGCACTCCTCGGATTCTCTCGTCTTGGTAGCGTTTGCCTGAAAGTGAAGAATGGTGGGAATTGCTGCCTTGTGTACCCTTGCACTTGTGCTTTGCGTGTCATTCGGCTTGAGGGGATTCCAGAACGGGGAGAATGGCGCCCAGGCAGCGATCAGTGATTGTTTGGGTGTTGTGGGAAATGGATGCGAGGGCGTGTCAGGAACGCGGATGTCGGCAGCCGTATGACAAAGCAAGTCACGTGCCGCCCGCGCTGCACTAGCTGCCGCGCTCGGGCCAGCTTCCGTCAACCTCAACACCATTCCTTCCCATTGCACATCCCATCGTCCTGCTGAAACTTGCCCGCATCATCCGTACTACCCTGGGTTGTTTGCTCGCCAACATTGCCCGAATTGGCTGGTGTTGCCGATGATGCTGCTTCACCACCACCACCACCATGCGTCGCCGTGCTGAAGCCACTACGAAACCAACATCACCACACGCATTCGAAAGATGGCACATTCACAAGCCGAATCGACTTCCGTTGATGGCCGAAGCTCAAGCAGCAAGATTCGACATCGTATCATGATACCAGCCTGCGGATGACACTTCCGGTTGCTGCGCTAAGCACCACAGCCTACAACTGCACCTGATACCGCCCTTGATCCAGCTATATCCACGTCATCGAAGAGCCCACCCTCTGTCGTCAAAGTAAAGTTGTCTTGTCGGCGTTACGGCTGAGCTTGTCTAAGGCCTCAGCCGGGTTTGAGGCGACCTCATTCCTGAGGGATCAATTTCCACGCGTTATACTTTACACTTTAACCTTTGTCTTATCCTGCTAACTCAAACGCCCAACCCACTCCACTCGGCCCCGTACCATCTCGGGAGCTCCAACGCCGCCCTCCGAAGCATCACCGATCTGCCTCTTCCTGCACGTTCGTTGCCTTCGGGGTGTTTCTGGATTTAATCGCTCAAGAATGACACTAGAACTCGAGATTTTACAGTCCGACAGTACCGCCACAGCCATGCCAAAAGAGCTTTCCTTGATGTTCCTCCAAGGAGCCACCGCTTTACCCAACCAGCAAGACGCCCTTCTTATTCCCGGACGCGTCATCTCCGCCGCCGATTTGTGCAACAGTCGGCCAATTCCTGTGGATATGGGGTCTCTGAGCGCTTCCTCTACACACGTCAAGCTTTCGGGAAGCGCAAATCTCCCGCCGCCAGTCCCGCTCTTCATTGCCGCCAGGACTTGGTCTGAGAGATGCTCGCCCACGTCTAGACGCGCTTGGTCGCAGTATCTCTAGCAAACTTGCAACGACTTCTTACTAGTTTACTTCGGCCGACCCTGTTCACGCCATACTTCGCGGTGATCCTCGAATCAAAAAGTCGCTCGTTACACCAAGAACCCGGGGCCCTGGAGCATTGGCCTATCTTCTCAGTCTGCAGTCCCCCCAATTGTCTCCTATCTCCCTTGATTCCGACTTCTGTGCCGTGACGCCCTCATGGGACCGGACACATACCACCACAACGCCACCGTTAGAAGCCGCCACACTGCTGATTCGTCGCGGATGATGTAAGCGAGATGAAAGACACCCGAGGTCCTCCAAGAATGCACCCCATACCATTGCGACATCCGTCATCGGAGCAATCCGTCGGCGCTGTCAATCTCACCGTCAACCGTCGCGTCAGGCAACCCAGCGCTCATCGAACAAAGGCGAAGTCCAAGATGCAGAGCCTGAAAAGTGTACAGATACAGTGCTCGAATATAGCGATGCTTGCATATAACGGGCCAAAACACCGTAGGCCGAATCTTTTCCGCTAGTTGCAGCTTACCCTGCTGACACCAGCCTTGGCGTAGCATGTTCGTAGAAGGGTATATCCCACCCGGAGGGGACTCCGTCCCCGCCAGACCTCATTCTTAACGAGGTGCATCGCGAGCCGGTCCGCAGCAGTTAACAGCAGCGGACATTCCGCGCCGATCTATGAAGAATGTGAGGCTTCTGGAGCGTTAGCTGCAGAAGAGCCTACCTCCCCTTCCCTGTGGACTTGACTGTGCAGCTAAATTGCCGTAGATGCCCATCGAGAATCTGTCTACCTGCACCATCTCTCCAGTTTCTTAGACTCCGTGTCCAGGAGTATAAGAGCACTGGAAAGGCCAGCGGCAGAGGGAGAAAGTCGAAGCTGAAGCTGAGCAGCGCCTCGCTCAGCCACTGCTTCCCTTCCCTTGTTTTTTCCAGTCTTTATCATCCACTCCTTCATTCACTTCACTTCAAAGTACCAGCCATGCGTCTTCCGAAGAAAGTCCTTCTGGCCGTTCTGGCCACGCTCATCCGGCAAGCGACAACTGCCCCAACATCCCCGGAGGAGTACCCCATCTACAAGGAGGCACAAGCCCGTGCTGCTGAGATTATTCCACGCCAACTTCTTCCTGCTGTTCTGCCCAACATTCTCCCTGCTGCCCCGGTTCCTGCTGCTGCGAGTGTTGCTGCAAATGCTCTCGGGACCCTTTGTCCATCTCTTCCCCAGATCATTTCGCAGCTTCCTGCCGATGCACAGTCAATCGCACGCCAATTGAACCAAGCTCTGTCGAGCGCCATCGCAGCCAATCCGGCGCTGGTCCCGACCACGCTGCCCGCCCCCGCCTTGCCGACTGGCCTTCCGGGTCTTGGGTCAAACTTGGTCCCTGGAGTGAGCACCTCAAGCGTCAGGCCGACCGCTCTTCTCCCTAGCAGTGCGTTGGCATCAATAATCAGCGGTTTGCCGAGCGCTGCTTCACAGGCAGCCTCCAATGCTGCTCCTCTGCAGTCTGCCCTGGGACAGATTCCCTCCGCACAGCTGCCCTCCGTCCTGTCAAATCTGGCTTCCGCCGTCCCGTCTGTCACGCCAATTCTCGCATCTCTGTCCCTTGGCCTCAACCTCCCCGCGGCGCCAACTGGCCTTGTTCCAGGTCTCCCGTCGGCCAGCGTTCCTTCAGCTGGAGTCCCCTCGGTAAGCCGGTCGGGAGTGTCATCTGTGAGCCAGCCTGGAGTGCCATCTGTGAGCCAGCCTGGAGTGCCATCTGTAGGCTTGCCTGGGGCTCCATCAGTGGGTCTTCCCGGACTTCCGTCTGTGGGCCTGCCTGGAGCCGCGCTGCCCTCGGCACTTATTACACCGGCTCTATCGAGGCTTGCCACTCTCCTCCCGAGCAGCGTTGCGTCTTCCGTTCTCTCGAACTTGAACAGCGCTCTGTCCACGAACCCTGGCGCCCTCGCATCCGCGCTCACGAACCTGCCTGTAAGCGCCATTCCAAGCGACATTGCCAGCTTGGCTTCGCAGCTGGCAACCCCCGGATTGCCTGCCGGTGCCGTTCCGTCTGCAGGTGTGCCGTCTGCAGGTGTGCCGTCTGCTGGTGTGCCGTCTGCTGGTGTGCCATCTGCTGGTGTGCCGTTCATTGGAGCTCCTGGGCTGCCTACTGTGCCGCCAATTGGCGTGCCTCCAATCGCCCTGCCCAGCAACGTCCTCGGGTCAATCATTTCTAACGTCCCATCGAATATCGCTAGTGCGCTGTCGGCTCTGCCGTCAAATGCTGCAGCGCTTCCTTCAGCTCTCGCCGCTCTGCCGACCAGTGTGCTTCCCTCCGTTCTCTCTCAGATAGCACCAGTTCTAAGTGGCCTTCCTACCAATCTTGCGGGCCTGCCGTCGGTTGGCGTGCCTCCTGTGGCTTTGCCAAGCAATGTTCTCCAGTCGGTCATTCCTAACGTCCCATCAGGCGTTGCCGATGCATTGTCGCAATTGCCAACTAACCCTGGCGCTCTCCCTTCAGCCCTTGGGGCTCTCCCAACCAGCGTACTGCCTTCGGTTCTTTCTGAGCTATCGCCGGTCCTGAGCAGTCTGCCTTCTGGTCTATCGGGCTTGCCAGGCTTGCCAGGCCTGCCACCTGTTGGCGTGCCTCCAGTTGCTCTCCCAAGCGACGTCCTCAACTCCATCATCCCTAGCCTCCCGTCAGACGTTGCCAACGCATTATCACAGCTGCCGACTAACGCCGCCGCTCTCCCCTCAGCCCTCGCGGCTCTCCCAGCTAGCGAACTCCCGTCGGTCATATCCGACTTGGGACCGGTTCTGAGCAGCCTGCCCTCTGGCCTCCCCGGCCTCCCCGGTGGTCCCAGCCTTCCCGGCGCCCCGGGCGTACCGCCTCTCGGGGCCCCAGGCTTGCCTCCCCTTCCTACAGTCGGTTTACCAACAGACGTGCTCAATTCCATCGCCCCGAGCCTGCCTTCGGCTGTTGCTAGCGCATTGTCGGCATTGCCATCGGACGTTGGGGCACTTCCTTCAGCTCTTGAGGCTCTTGCAACAGATGTGCTGCCATCGGTGCTTTCAGACTTGGCACCGATTTTGCCGACCGGCGTTCCTGGCCTTCCCGGTGTACCACCTGGCCTCCCTGGCCTTCCTGGCCAGCCATCCGTTGGTGTCCCAGGCCTCCCCGGCGCGCCAACCATCGGTCTGCCAGGTCTGCCAACCGTTGGCCTTCCTCCGATCTCAGTGCCGAGTGACGTTCTTGGCAGTCTTCCATCGAACGTTGTCGACGCACTATCGAACCTCCCAGTCGATCCTGGGGCGCTCAATTCGGCTCTTGCAGCCCTCCCAACCAACGAGGTTCCTTCAGTCCTCTCTGGTCTGGCACCATTCTTACCGACTGGGGTGCCCAGCGTCCCTGGCGTCCCCGGGGCTCCAGGCCTTCCAGGCTTGCCTCCAATCGCCGTGCCGAGCAGCATCCTCGATACCCTGCCATCGGGCGTCGTTAACGCTCTATCAGAGCTGCCAACTAACGTTGGGGCGCTCCCATCAGCTCTCGCCGCTCTTCCTACCGACGAAGTGCCTCCAATTGTCTCTGCGTTGGAGCCGTTCCTGCCTACTGGCGTGCCTGGTCTTCCTGGGGTTCCAAACGGTCTTCCGGGTCTTCCGGGTCTTCCGGGGGCTCCCAGCGGTCTTCCTGGGCTTCCCGGTGTTCCCAGCGGCCTGCCCGGCCTTCCTGGCGTGCCTCCAATCGCTCTGCCAAGCAATGTCCTGGGTAGTCTGCCGTCAGCCGTTGCGGATGCGCTATCAGAGTTGCCGACTAACGCTGGAGCACTCTCTTCCGCAATCGCCGCTCTCCCGACCAACGAAGTCCCGTCGATTCTTTCCCAGTTGGAACCGGTTCTCACCGGCCTTCCTAGCGGTGTTCCCGGTGTGCCTGGGTTGCCTCCGGTGGCTCTGCCGAGCAGCGTTCTGGATAGCCTGCCGTCGGACGTTGTGAACGCCCTTCCACAACTGCCGGCCAACGTGGCGCCGCTCTCCTCGGCTCTTGCGGCTTTGCCAAGCGAAGTGGTACCCTCGGTGCTTTCCGACCTGGCGCCTGTCCTGACCAATCTTCCTGCTGGTGCCCCCGGTGTTCCTGGCTTGCCCGGTCTTCCCACTGGTGCTCCCGGTGCTCCTGGCTTGCCCGGTCTTCCTACTGGTGCCCTCGGCGTTCCTGGCTTGCCCGGTCTTCCCACTGGTGCTCCCGGTGCTCCTGGCTTGCCCGGTCTTCCTACTGGTGCTCCCGGTGTACCTGGCTTGCCCGGCCTTCCTACCGGTGCTCTTGAGTCGATCATCCCCAGCCTACCGACCAACGTTGCCAACGCACTCTCCGAACTGCCGGCAAACGCGTCGCCGCTCTCCTCGGCCCTGGCAGCTTTGCCAAGCGAGGTGTTACCTTCGGTGCTTTCCGACTTGGCTCCTGTTCTGAACGGTCTCCCTACTAATGCCAATGCTCCTAGCGTGCCATCTGCCGGCCTGCCTTCTGCCGGCCTCCCTTCTGCTGGCCTACCTTCTGCTGGCCTCCCCTCGGGTGGCCTCCTCTCAACTGGCCTCCCTTCAGTTGGCCTACCCTCAGTCGGCCTTCCCGGTCTGCCCAGTGACGTGGCCAACTCCATTGTCAACAACGTCCCTTCAGGTGTGGCCAGTGCGCTTTCAGAGCTGCCTACCAACGCGGCTCCTCTGTCGTCCGCTCTTGGTGCTCTGCCAAGCAGTGCTCTACCTTCAGTACTGTCCGAATTGGCTCCCGCCATCAGTGGTCCTAGCCTGCCTGGTGGCATTCCCAGCCTACCCGGTGGCATTCCCAGCCTACCCGGTGGCGCACCTGGCGTACCTGGCGCACCTGGCGCACCTGGCGTACCTTCTTTGCCCCTCGGCGGCCTTCCCTCTGTACCTACGAGCGTGCTCAACTCGGTTGCGAACAACGTTCCCTCGGATGTGGCAAGCGCGTTATCACAAGTACCTTCTAACGCAGCCCCTCTAGAATCAGCTCTCGTTGCCCTGCCGAGCAGTGCTCTGCCGTCGGTACTCTCTGAATTGGCTCCTGTCTTTAGCGGACTCCCGAATGGCGGCGTTCCTAGCCTCCCGAACAGCGGCCTACCTGGCGGCCTACCTGGAGGCCTACCTGGCGTACCTTCTTTGCCCGCCGGCGGCCTTCCCTCTGTGCCCACCAGCGTGATCAACTCGGTTGCCAATAACGTTCCTTCAGGCGTGGCCAGCGCGCTGTCGCAAGTACCTTCCAACGCAGCTCCTCTGCAGTCGGCACTTGGTGCCCTACCGAGCAGTGCTCTGCCTTCGGTGCTTTCCGCGCTGGCTCCCGTCTTTAGCGGACTCCCGAGCGGCGGCGTTCCCAGTCTACCTGGTGGCGTACCTGGCGTACCTGGCCTGCCCGCCTTACCCTCCGTTGGCGGCCTTCCCTCTGTACCCACCAGCGTGATTAACTCGGTTGCGAACAACGTTCCTTCAAACGTAGCTAGCGCGCTATCACAGGTACCTTCTAACGCAGCTCCTCTAGGATCAGCTCTAGTTGCCCTACCGAGTAGTGCTCTGCCTTCGGTGCTTTCCGCGCTGGCTCCAGTCTTGAGTGGACTCCCGAGCGGCGGCCTTCCCAGCCTACCTGGTGGCGTACCCAGCCTGCCCGGTGGTGTTCCCAGCCTACCTGGTGGCGTACCCAGCCTGCCCGGTGGTGTTCCTGGCCTGTCCGCCTTACCCCCCGTTGGCGGCCTTCCTTCTGTGCCTACCAGCGTTATCAACTCGGTTGCAAACAACGTTCCTTCAAACGTGGCCAGCGCATTATCACAAGTACCTTCTAACGTAGCTCCTTTGCAATCAGCTCTCGTTGCGCTGCCGAGCAGTGCTTTGCCTTCGGTGCTTTCCGCGCTGGCTCCCGTCTTCAGCGGGCTTCCGACCGGCGCCCCGTCTGCCGGCGTGCCTTCTGCTAGTGCTCCTGGTCTTTCTTCGGCTGGTGTGCCTTCTGCTGGTGCTCCGGGTCTTCCTTCGGCTGGTGTGCCCTCAGCCGGTGCTCCGGGTCTGCCTCTGGGTTCTCTTCCCAGCCCTGTTGTCAGCTCCCTTCTCAACGGCCTTCCATCGAATGTCGCCAGCGCCCTCGTCGCCAACCCGACGAACCCAGCGCCGCTCTCGTCGGCGATCAGCGCTCTCCCCGCTGCCCAGCAACCATCGGTCCTCTCCCAAATCAGCCAAATCGGCAACGCACTCTCCGGTCTTCCCGCTGGTGGTCTTCCCTTCGGCCCTGGTGCCGGTGGTAGTGCCTCTGCCACGGCAGCCGCTGGCGCATCTGTCACGGCAACCGCTCGTGCCTCTGCCGGTGCCGGTGGCCCTGGCGGTCTTCCCCTGAACTCGATACTCCCCGCGCTGCCGTCGGCTGTTGCAAGCGCCGTCACTCAGATTTCCTCCAACGTTGCCCCCCTCTCCTCGGCCCTAGCGGCGCTGCCTTCGAGCGTCCTTCCCGCAGTCCAATCGCAGCTCCAGCTCGCAGCTCCGGCACTAAGCGCGCTGGCCGGCCCGGTGGGTGCCAGCGGCCTTCCTGGACTGCTTGGTCTGCCGTCTGGAGCAGCTGTTCCTTCCGGCGGGGCAGCAGCTCCTTCGACTGCTGGTCTGCCCTCGGGTGGTGGGGGCCTCCCCCTGAACTCAGTGCTCCCCGCGCTGCCGTCGGCCGTCGCAAGCGCGATTCCTCAGATTTCCTCCAACATTGCCCCCCTTTCATCGGCCCTGGCGGCGCTACCCTCGAGCGTTCGACCTTCTGTTCAGTCTCAGCTTCAGCTCGCTGCCCCGGCATTGAGCTCGCTTGCCGGTCCGGTGGGCGCCAGCGGTCTTCCTGGACTGCTTGGTCTGCCGCCTGGAGCAGCGGCTCCTTCGGGTGCGGTTCCTTCCGGCGCGATCCCTTCGGGTGCGGTTCCTTCTGGTGGTCTGCCTGCGGGAAGTCTTCCTGCGGGAGGACTTCCTGCGGGAGGTGGCCTTCCCCTGGCCTCGATACTCCCCGCATTACCGCAAGCCGTTGCGAACGCGATTCCTGCGATAGCCTCAAACCTTGCGCCGCTATCCTCGGCCCTAGCAGCGCTGCCCTCGAGCGTCCTGCCCGCCGTTCAGTCCCAGCTCGCGCAAGCCGCCCCGGCGCTGTCCTCGCTGGCCGGCCCGCTCGCCACCGGCCTACCCGGCTTGCTTGGTCTACCTACTAGTGGTCTTCCTGCGGGTGGTCTGCCCGCGGGTGGTCTTCCTGCAGGTGGTGGGCTTCCTCTAGCCTCGATACTTCCTATACTACCACAGGCCGTTGCAAACGCGATCCCTGCGATAGCCTCAAACCTTGCACCGCTCTCTTCGGCCCTAGCAGCACTTCCCTCAAGCGCCTTACCTGCCGTCCAGTCCCAGCTCGCGCAAGCCGCCCCGGCGCTGTCCTCGCTGGCCGGCCCGCTCGCCACCGGCCTACCCGGCTTGCTTGGTCTGCCTGCGGGTGGTCTACCTGCGGGCGGTTTGCCTGCGGGTGGTCTTCCTGCGGGCGGTCTCCCTGCGGGTGGCCTTCCCCTGGCCTCGATACTCCCCTTACTACCGCAGGCCGTTGCGAACGCGATACCTGCGATAGCTTCGAATCTTACACCGTTGTCTTCGGCCCTAGCGGCACTACCCTCGAGCGTCTTACCCGCCGTCCAGTCCCAGCTCGCGCAAGCCGCTCCTGCGTTATCCTCGCTGGCTGGCCCGCTAGCCACCGGCCTGCCCGGCTTGCTTGGTCTGCCTACAGGTGGTCTGCCTGCGGGTGGCCTGCCTGCTGGTGGTCTGCCTGCTGGTGGCCTGCCTGCTGGTGGCCTGCCTGCTGGTGGCCTTCCTCTGGCCTCGATACTCCCCTTACTACCGCAGGCCGTTGCGAACGCGATTCCTGCGATAGCTTCGAACCTTGCGCCGCTATCTTCGGCCCTAGCGGCACTACCCTCGAGCGTCTTGCCCGCCGTCCAGTCCCAGCTCGCACAAGCCGCTCCGGCGCTGTCCTCGCTGGCCGGCCCGCTCGCCACCGGCCTGCCCGGCTTGCTCGGTCTGCCGTTGGGCGGCCTGCCTGGCGTCGGCCTCCCGTCTGGAGCCGTTCCTTCGCTCAGCCTGCCCGCGGGCGCTCTCCCTTCAGGCGGTCTGCCCGGCCTAGGTCTCCCCTCCGCCACCATCCCCTCGCTCAGCCTCAACCTAGGCCTCAGCCTGAACGCCGGTCTCCCCACCCCCAGCCTACCCAGCGTCGGCCTACCGGGCCTGGGCCTCCCAAGCGGGTCAGCCCGCCTCCCATCGGCCTCGGTCCCCAGCGCTGGCCTCCCCGGCCTCGGCCTCCCCAGCCTAGGCGGCGGCGCCGGCGGCGGCCCTTCAGCCTCGCTCGCCGCCTCCGCCCAAGCCTCCGCCCAGGTCTCGGCGCAAGCATCCGCCAGCGCCGGCGTCAACAACAACAACGGCCTCGGCCTCCCCAGCATCACCCTCCCCAGCGCCAGCCTCCCCAGCGTCGCCGTCCCCTCGCGCACCCTCCCCAACGGCTCCGTCGCCCCGGCCGTCCCCTCCATCATCGCCGCCGGCAGCGTCTACGGCCAGGTCTACAACTACATCTTCTACGCCAACACCGTCGTCAGCGTCAACGGCGGCTTCCTCGATCCGAGGACGGGCGCTATTCAAGGCCTTTTGCCCGGCGGCCAGCTTTGTGCGCTGCTGGCGGATGGCTTGCACATCGCCAATCGCCTCGTGCCGTATCCGCCCGCGTGGACGAATCTGATCGGCGCGCTGGGGATTCAGTTGCCGATTCTTAGTCGGTTGCCGAATTTGATTCCGGCTTAGGTGGTGTGAGGAGGTGGTGGTTGTAGTAGTAGTAGTAGTAGTGGAGTGAAGGAGAGTGAGGGTGTGTGGCGGTAGGGAGAGAGAGGGAGGGTGATGGAGGAGGAAGAGAGAGGCTGTAATGGGGGCGGAATGCCTGACTTGTATTAGTGCCTGTCATGACTCTCTTTTTTGTTCTGTCTTACTTTCTCCCGCCATCGGTAACGGATTATTTGGCCATTCAGAAAAAAACACTGGTATCGTTTAGGTAATGAAGTTCTTGTTCTGTTACAGTCGAAATGTATTTTTCTTGGTTAAGTCATGATTGCTGGTGTCTCTGAAGCTGTGCGTGTGTCTCGGTCTCTTACTGCATGTAGTCTAGAGTGTCTTCAGATAGCTCTAGGTATTTCGTTTTCTAACTATCTTAAGTTCCTGGTTATTTGTCTACAGTTGTTCCTAAGCCTGTATCACGCATACAGGTTACCCGTCACACACCTCGGAACGTATATCTTATTGATATGTTGATCTAGCTTTGCAGCTGTGCGAAGCTATCAGAACCTCGCGCCGCCACAACGGACGGTAGAACTGAAGCACTCTGACCGTCAGCCATAGCGAACGGTACGGGTAAATGTCGCTACGTATGTACATCTATTGTAAATGCTGATTTGAAGCATGTTGCTTGAGGATGAGGAAGAGTATGGTATTCTGTCAAACAGGGAGAGTTAGTTCTCTGCCTTCTTATGTATTATGGATGTGCAGGGCCAACGCCGCTTAGTCAAACGTAAGATTAGTGGCCACGCTTTTGAGTGAGTCCCATCTGAGGTTGAAGACCGATTTTTGGAGCTACGACCGGAACCCAATCGAGCTACATTTATCACTGGCTTGTTCGTGGCTACATGAAGGACTTCCTATTGTGGATCTAGTTTTCCGCAGCCGACCTATGTACTTCCATAAGGGCCCACGGGGGAGAAGACGAACAATCGTTCCACAGGCCTCAGAGCTACATACAATCCTCTACCTCGCCCCCAACACGCGCGCACACCGGCAAAACTCCCCCACAAAAAGGAAAGAAAAAAAAACTCTCTCTTTCTCTCCCCTCTCTTCCCCCAAACAGCCGACCGACCGACAGACCAACCAACCAACCAACCCAACACTACAACCTCCCCAGCAACTCCGTCACAAAATCCCCCAACTTCTCCGCCACCACCTCCTCCCGCACCCCCAACCGTCTGCACTGCACCTCCGCCTTCCTCCCCTCCCTCCACGCCCTCCCCAGCACCACAACGACATTCACCCCCACGAGGTCCGCATCCCCGAGCTTCCACCCGACCCCCACCCCCCTCCGATCATCCAGCACCGCATCCACGCCCCCCACGACCAGCGCATCGTACACCTTCTCCGCGTCGCTATCGCTACCATCGCTGCCGCCGCCGGCGGAAATGACGACGGCCTCCCACGGCGCGACGGCGCGCGGCCAGTTGAGGCCGCGGGCGTCGGCGAGGGCGTCGGCGACGGCCGCGAGCATGCGCGACACGCCGATGCCGTGGCAGCCCATCTGGACGGGTTTGGGCTGGCCGCGCGCGTCGCGGACGGAGAGGGCGAGCGGGGTCGAGTAGCGCGTGCCGAGGTGGAAGGTGTGGCCGATTTCGACGGCGCGGTGGGCGGAGACGTGGCCGGTGGGGCAGGAGGGGCAGGGGGAGTTGTGGCGGAGGGCGAGGAGGGTGGTGGGTTTGGTTTTGTTGGTGGTGGAGGTGGGGGGGTCGCGGGTTAGGTAGTGGAAGGTGGTGGGTGGGGCGGCGGCGGCGGCGGCGGTGTTGTTTTGTTCGAAGGCGATGGCGTCGCGGAAGGCGTGGATGTTGGCGTCGGCGAGGATGAGGCGGGTTTTGTTGCCGGCGCTGGCGCTGTCCCATAGCTGTTGGGCTGTGGTGCCGGTGCCGTCGTCGTCGATGGAGGTGTCGAGGTCGGGGAAGAGGGACTTGACGGCATGTAGGTTGATGCGGTCGGCGGGTTGTTCGGACGACTGATTGTCGGCCGGGTGAAGCATGGCGTGGGCTTCGACGAGGGTCCTCCTGTCCTTGCTGATGCCCTTCCATACGAGGATGGGGCCGGGTTCGTCGTCTTCCGGGGTGAGGTGGGGGTCGCAGTGCTGGGCTACCTCCTCGTTGGCGGTGTAGTCGCACACGTCGCACTGGAAGACTGTGTCCTCGCCCTTGGCGGAGATGAAGTGATACTCGTGGCTGGTGTCTCCTCCGATGGATCCAGAGTCTGCGTCTGCCACCAGGTAGGGGAGCTTCAAATCGGTCAGGATGTCGACGTAGGCTTGCCTGACGCTCTTGTAAGTGTCCAAGGCCTCGGATTCCAGATGGTCAAAAGTGTAGAGATCCTTCATGAGGAACTCCTTTGCGCGTAGCAATCCTTGCCTTGGACGGAGCTCATCACGGTATTTCCTCGAGATCTGATACAAGCGCAGCGGCAGCTCTTTGTAGCTTTTCACAGTGTTGCGGACGAGTTGGGTGATCTCTTCTTCATGTGTCGGGCCCAGCAAGAGCCCGGAGTCGTTTCTGTCTTTGAGTCGGAGGAGCTCCTTGCCTTCCAGCCTGCCAGTGCGCTCCCACAGCTCCTCGGAGGAGATGGATGACAGAGAGACTTTGGAAGCGCCGAGGCTGCGCATGTGTTTGTCGATCAAACGCTCAAACTTTTCTTGCACCCGCAGACCGAGCGGAAGCATGTGGAACAGCCCCGAGTGGGCTTGTCGAAGGAAGCCAGCGCGGACTAGCAGCGCATGCGTGTCTTCTCCCTCAGCATCCTTGGGGGTGATGCCTCCAGTTGGAACCCAGAAGCTGGACAAGCGGCTCCGCTCGTCATTCTGACGGCCATCAGCGGGGAATGCTATCGCAAAGAAAAACCCATGAGCTTACGGAAAAGCAACGAACGAACGATAGAGACGACGTAGAAGAAACGAGCAGACGCCGCGGAGAGAGGCGTTGCAAAGACCGCACAAGCATATGGAAGACGTCAGTTGCAGGCGACGGCAAGTCCAGCAAAACGGGGTATGTACACCGCCGCCAATGGAGAATGAAATGGAAACTGGCGTGCAGACGATTGGAGGAGCAGCGGCCGAGAGATGGATGCTCTGGAGACAGGCAGCCCAGCCGAAGATGGGCCGACTGCTAGCGGCGATGCGACAATTTGACGCTGCGGAAGTCCGCAAGCCCGCAAGCTCCTCCGCACCATCCTCGACGGTCAGTTCTCCCCAATTGGCCTGTAGCCCACCCTGCTGACAGCTCCACAAGGCCGCCGAGACATTGACCGCCCGCCATGCCTCCCAGAATACGGCTGCCGTCCGCATCAGCAGCACCGGCGCCCGTCCGCGTCCGCACCTACAACCACGCCGCCCGCCTCGCACACCACCGCCATCACCAGCCGTCACAATGCCCGCGGACCTACGCCAGCCTGGCCACCGCCACCACCCCGGCGCCCTCGTTTGAGCAGGTCACGACGGCCACCGCCCCCATCGCCCGCCACCCGCCCACCCAGCCGCCGTCCTACAAGCCCGCCGAGTTCCGCAAGTCGCAGCTGCTGCGCCAGTACGCCTCGCTGCTGCGCTCCACGCCGCTGGCGCTGCTCTTCCAGCACAACAACCTGCGCGCCGTCGAGTGGTCCGGCATCCGCCGCGAGCTGGCCAAGGCCCTGCGCAAGGTCGACGACGACCTGGCCGCCGCCGGCACCCCGTCCGCCGTGCCCGCCGACGCCATCAAGATCCACACGGTGCAGACGGGCATCTTCCGCTCCGCCCTGCGCGTCGTCGAGTTCTACGACCCGCTCCTGGCCGCCGACCTGGCCGCCCAGCAGCACACGCCGCCGCCCTCCTCGCCCGCCACGCAGAGCAGCAAGCAGCTGCTCGCGTCCGACGCCCTCCTCACGCACACGCTCTCGGCCCGCGCCCACGCCGTCGCCTCGGACCGCGCCAAGAAGCACGAGCTCGAGGTGCTGCTGTCCGGGCCCGTCGCCCTCGTCACCTTCCCCGTCGTGTCGCCCCAGCACCTCGCCGCCGCCCTGTGCATCCTCGCGCCCCAGAGCCCCGACTTCCCCGCCCCCCGCCGCAAGGCCAGCCCGGACTACCACGAGCCCGCCGTGCAGGCGGGCCTGCAGAAGCTGATGCTGCTGGGCGCCCGCGTCGAGGGCAAGGTCTTTGACGGCGTGGGAACGCGCTGGGTCGGCGGCATCCAGGGCGGGTTGGGCGGCTTGCGCGCCCAGCTGGTGGGCATGCTGCAGGGTGCTGGGGCGCAGGTTGCGAATGCGTTGGAGAGCGCGAGCAGGAGCTTGTATTTCACCGTGGAGAGTCGGAGGTTGGATATGGAGGAGAAGGAGAAGCCGAAGGAGGAGGGCGGGGAGAAGAAGGAGGAGGGTGGTGGTGGTGGTGGTGGTCAATAGACCAGAGGCTTCTTTTGCATTTGTATGATATGCTACACAGAAAGAAAGAAAAAGACATGTTTTCTTCCAGATGGTGGGGCGAGGAGAATTGTATCCGGTCTATGTGGTGTGGAAACAAGGAGTATGTATACAAAGGAAGCAATGAAGAGCCGTAGAGACGACCCTCAGACCAAAACATTACTTACACAGACCCACGCGTACATGTGAACAGTAACTTTAACACGAAAAGGAACCAGGTCGTCATAATCGACTGCCTTTCCGCTTCTTCATGTTCTCCACCTCTTCCTTGAGCACCTCTCTCAACTCCCCCGCCAACCGCGCCGCCTCGTCATCGTCCAGGTCCTCGCGCTGGCCGCGCCCGAACATGGTCCAGCTCTTGTTGCGGAGCTCCGGCATGCGCGGCGGCCGAGGGATGATGTGAAAGTGGACGTGCGGGACGACTTGGGCTGCTCGGGCGCCTGGAAGTATCATGATGAGAAAAAGTGAGTGGATGGACGGAGGGAGGGAGCTAAGGGGGGGTATGACAAGAGGCAAGCCACTCACCATTGTTCTGGACGATGTTGTAGTCTGTGACGCCGGTGACGCGGGAGACGGTTTTGGCGAGGAGGGGGAGCCAGAAGCCTGTGGTGTGCGGCGTTGGTTGCAGTCAGCCGCTTTTCAAACACAATTTTAGGATAGACATGGGGGCTCGCTCACTCACCAACATCTCTGCTTTCTAACCCTTCCACATCTCCCAGCTTCCCTCTATGCTCCCTTGTCGTGACCAGCAGATGGCCCCTCGTCATGGGCAAGATGTCCAAGAAAGCCAACACCCGCGGCGCCGATAGGACGAGGTACGCCCCAGGGTCCACGCGTGTCGGATCCACCGCGGTGGACGTGGTGGGTATGCACGCAATCAGGTCATCCTCTTCCTTTCTGTCGTCGTTTCCTCTCTCTGCTGCGGTGGTGGTGATGTTGGTTTCCGGAGGGTAGGCGGCGGAGATGTTGCAGAACGGGCAGGCTTCAGGATACCGCTCCGTGATCTCTTTGGGTTCGACCATGCTTTCCTTCCTTCCTTCCTTCCTTCCTTCTCCTTTTTCTCACTGCTAACAACCACAACAGCAGGGAGCTACAGCACTCTGCCAAGGAGCCACACAAGCCCGACGTCTTCAACCGCGCCAAGCGTCGTAAGCCGCAGGAGAGCAATGGATGACGCGCTTCTAACCGGCACTTCCTCTTCTCACTCACTCACTCACTCACAAGGCCAACCAATCAAACCAACACACAACTAATCCTCCCAACTACAAATCAGTTAGTCAGCCAGTTTCCTCGACCCAGAAAATCCAGCGAATGGAAACAAAGGCAAAGTCTCTCCACTTTTTCCCTTTCCCAAACAAGTAAAACATAAACAAAGACACACACGCACGCAATCATAGGACACCCACCTTTCACCGCACACGCACACCCCACCCTTGTCTCAGATGAAACGGGGACGAAATGGCCTGGAACCTGACGATCATCAGAAATTAAGGTAAAAACAAGACAAACGACAACAACGACAACAGAAAACCGGTCAGGATCCGTTGCCGGGACAGCAAACAAGCAAATAACAGGCAAAGACAAGGGTAAAAAAGGGGGGAATTATTACCAGCAGCGTCTATCTCGGAAAAGAAAATAAATTGTGTGAATAATAACGAAGCGCGGGGAGAGCGGGGCACGCGTACCTAGGTACTTTGCCCCGGACACGGGCGGGACGTTCGCAGGTCGATCGATCGAGGGCGGCCGCGTGAAGGATGATGTCGAGCGGGAGGGGGGAAG